TCTAGTCAAAGACCATGGCGACTGGTTGCAATGAGTAGTACAGAGTATACTGTCTGGCTCGAGAGCAGGTGAGATTCCAATAACAAAGTTGATTGACGAGGTTGAACACGATGCCATAAGGGCAGCGTGTCTACTTGCTTATATACTTGACAGGAGGATTGATTGTACTGCTCATATCAAGTATCGTCAGTGACTTGATACTCGGTCCAATCGAGCGTTGTTGACGTGACCTCAATACTCAGTCCTTGGTATCCTATTGATCGTTGTTGACGTGGGTCCTCTGCAAGTGGGTCGGTATATGGGTCCGTGACGATCATTTGTGTATGAGATCCACGTTGTATCCACTGCAGTCCTTTTCGTACAATCTTGGTTTGTATAACAGATATTGCGAGTGTTGATTATACTGGGTATCACTGATGCGGCTTCACAGCTCGGTCAATCAATACTGCAGTTCCTTGGCTGCTCTCATCTCGTTGCGTAGTCCTGTTTGTTCAGTGTTGTTTTGCGAGTTGTTCATGGATTGTAACAGCGTGTTCAGGACATGACTCCTTTATTCTTAGCGCTGTGCAGCGTGTACCCCACAGCGCTCAGCTGTCATCTCAACCCTCTACTTCTGCCAGGTCAAGAAGATACACTGCAACTTGGAGGATCTCTCAGAGGTCTTTGGTATACCTCAAAAGACATCTTCTGATGTTGTTGCAAAAGGAAGATGCCGCAGAATTCAACATTCAGATGCACCAGATCTGCATGGAAAGGAGCATTTATTGACCAACTCTGATGCAAACGCTATTGCTTCCTTCCTAGATGCCTGCTCTTTTGAGCAAAAGGGGCTACCTTGGCAAGATCTTGCAGATCTCTCTGGTGTTGCAAAAGTTTTTCACGACAGCAAGGAGAATGAGCAGTTCTCTGAACATACTATCCAGCGCAGAGTTACAGAGGTCTCAGGAATTGTCACACACAGAGCAGTAATGAAGGAGAAACCCACCTTATCTCAACAGGATGCTTTGGGTTAAGTGGATTGATGTTAATTTACTCATCTATCCAACAAAGTTTGAGTGGAGATGGGTGCTTTGGAGCAATGAGATTCACTGGATGACTGGTCCATCATACATCAAAAACATCAAGAGGAGGCCTGGAGATGAGCAGAAGTATCATCCCAAGTACATTCAGTATGAAAAGAACCACAAGCCTAATCCAGAAGAGGAAGAGCACTTCCATTTGGTTGTTGTTCTTGGTTACAACTTTGCTTGGGCAATGCCATACAAGACTAAGCACAAGAATGGGAAAATGAACAGCAAATTATACTGCACTCAGACAATTCCTGCACTCAAGTCTGAGCTGCTGCAACACAGAGGAAAGTGGACTCTATATTAGGACTGTGACTCTGCTCACAAGAGTGCCCGCACAAGGAAATGGTTGGATCACAATGGGTTGCCATACATTATGGCACCCCCAAAGTCTCCAGACTTCTCAATCTCAGAGACTTGGACCTCAACAATGAGGCGTTACTTCTATAAACAACGCTGCGCTTCAGAACAGGCAGGATTAAAGCGCTTTTATCAGGTGTGGGAGAAGTTGTGCACGGAGAAGATTAACAAGACGGTAGATGCCTACCCACGTCGCCTCAAAGACATCAAGGAAGTTTACCAAGGCCAGGCAAGTAAATATTAAAGAATCAAGTTCACTTGGCTTATACAGAAATTCAATCCAACGTGTGGTTGTTGAGTTATTGCACTTTGAAGTATGGTCCTTATCTGCGGCTTTCATTGGCGTACAAGAGGTTGCATCTGCATGGGAGCCATTCTAGGAACTTGTGTATTCGGTGTACTTGCTAGCGTCGCTCCCCTCGCTGCCATCGCAGCGTAGCTGACCGCGCCACCTGTCTGTGGTCCTGCGTTCTTGATCCGTCTTGCCATCTCCAGGTTGGCTTTACCTACCTCTACCGCCTCCTTGGCTGCAGTCCTTGCTTCTTCTCCAGCCCTCACGTTCTGTTGTACGTTTGTAGCGATTGCGTGGACGGTATCGGCGGTGCTCTTGATTTCGGTCTTGAGTTCCTGCTTGACAGCATCAAGCATTCATGCAGCGGAGGTCGCCTTGGCCTCGGTCTGCATGATGCTAAGCGCGTCGCACACCGTGCTGAGGTTAGGGGTGTGTTGCACTTTCAGTATGAATGTCAGCGTGCCATGGATGATGACCTTGACGAGGTCTGCCGGCACGGGCTGGCTTTGAGTGCGATCGATACAAGTCAGCGCCTCCATTGCGCTCAATCAACGACAGCACCTCGCGAAGGAAGGTGCTGAGATTGGTAGCGTGCTCCTCTATTGGGATCGGCCAGGTCGACCTTCGAGGCCACGGTGTTGCCATGGTGCCTCAGCAGGAGTGGGCGCTACTTCTGAGTGCTGGCTAGTCGAGTGCCATCTCTAGCAGACGTTTGCGTGCGTTAAACTACGTTAATTCCAAGAGTTGAAAATTTTCGCTGTTGTCGTGTTTTTCATTGCGCCTGTGACAACTTCCGCCGCGCTTGCCCGCGCGCGCGCGGTGTTTCGGCGCCTCCGGACAGCACAGCACAGCCCACCTTCAGCCCTAAACAATCATCCTTTCTTGTCTCCACCCGCACCAACAGGAACACGAGCCATCCTTGACTGCGCATTGACTAAGCCACTCATAGTGTTGCTAACCAAAATCATGATTGTAGTAGTGGCAATGAAGCCAAATTCTAAACACTTAACACGATCTTCGGCTTGTTTGCGTCTGCTGATGAACACACGTCGGCCATTCCGTACTAAGAGACCTTTGAGCTACGACTAAGAACCACCATACCTAGAAAACATCCCTCAATTCTTTGTCGGTGTCGATATTCGATGTTGCGATGACATCACTTGCTGTTGTAAGTCTCGATACATTCCACTTGCTCTCACTCTCGCTGACTTCGAAAGTGTGATACATGCAGATCACGGAAAGTATGTGTTTGGGCCTGATTTTCTGCCGCATGCGACTGATTCAGTTTTAGGTCAGATGTGATCGTGACGATCCGTGCGGGAACTGTGTCGACTCTAATATATCATGCAATCGAACGGCATCTACAGCACGAAGCGCATCTAAGCGAAGGAGAGGACCTGAAACTACTGCCACCCCACAGAGTGTGCAGCGACATGGACTACAAGCAAGTTTCACGCCTTCGCCGCCCAGGTCGACAAGTGTGCCACAATCGCCCCCGATCATCGAAGCACACGATTTTATTCGACGAGAGATCACATCTGGCAAGCCTATGCCTGCTGACCGGCTAGCTGTACTGAATTCCGCAATGTCATTTGTTACTCATCTCAGCCAAACAGTACAGCATGAGAATTTAGCAGGCGCTCGCAGCACACGTGTTGCTGACATTCTCGAAGGGATCAGCACGCCATCCGTGGAAATTTTGTACTGGATGCTTTGTGGTAAGACATTGTTCATGCAAAAGGCCTGACTAAACTTATCTGTGGTAGAACTCAAGGGGAGTAACATCGGCCCGCATGTCCTGGACTACTTCAAGCACGTCTCGCCAAAATCGTTGAAGACCATGGGTCTTGCTTTGATTAATCGGAATGGCGATAACGAGACCTTGTTGCTCTACTCAATATGCGTCAACTCGGCAATCTTCAAGTTTATCAACACCGTGTTGTCAGAAAGCGACATGGGCGGCATCGAAGATGGCCTCCGTGACCAGGCCAGCAAGTATCTACAAAGCGTCAAGTTGGCAATGAAACGAATTCACCTTCTTGCGGTACCTTCACTACTTTTCTTACAATCTTTACTATGCAGCGTAAGTCAACAACAATCCTAACTATATTGAGCAAACACTCCTGATATCCTCTAGGCATTCATTGCGCAAGGCCAAGGCGACTCGGTGCACTGCTGGGCGTTCATTTCCGCCGCATGTAAGACATGCGAAGACCTAAATCTCGACGCGCAAGTCAACGCTTGTCAGTTTGAGACCGAAGATGACATTGAGTTGTACTATTGCTACGTGTGGTGTCACATTCTCGACAAGAACTACTCCATGATGTTAGGTCGGACTCAATGTCTCCTTAATCACGAAGGCTTAGACTCAGTCTTCTCCTCGCCACTCAACCGATCACTGTCAGCGCTGCTCTCCACCTACTTGCTCTTCGTACCCGTCCAAGCTATCTTTATATTGGAACTACATCCTCTCAAAATCTCGAACAAGAAGACACTACTTTCACGAGTCGAATACATGGTAGCTGATCTGTTGAACCGATTGCAGCGTGTGCACGCACGCATTACCGAGGTGTGTACTATGTACTAAATATTCCCATGTGCACTGCTCACCGCTCACAACACACAGCTGCATGGTCCTTCCGATTCTTGGAGCGGTCTTCATATGGGCACTGAGCTGACCACGATACAATTCTCCTATCATTCGCTACGGACATCAATTCTACGCTCCAAACAGATCTGCTTGCCGGCCCAACCATACGTTGATCACGATTGTCTCGAGTCGGCGCGAATGGCGATGTCAACCTTGCGAGGCATTCAGGAAGCTGCCATGACCCTAATTGACATCCGATCCCACATCGCATACATGCATTGGTACGCACTCACATAGCTGGACTTTACTTTGCACAGTTGACTAACTAATTCAGGACTGTACTGTATCATCCACTAACACCTTTCTTTGTCCTGTTCTGCAACGTTGTAGCGACATCCGACTCCAACGACTTTCACACACTCAAACGTGTCACAGAAGAGCTTGAAGGGCTAGTCGAGTTCTCTGCATCGATTGCTAAATTGCAAACACTCTTCAGATCTTTTATTGAGCTCTGTGAAGGCCTCGTCTCCGATAAGCGACAAAAGACAGCCAAATCAACGGACGACATCGAGAGTCTTGGCGGCCATGTACAGCAGCCAGTCATCATGGCACCACAGTCGCAAGCAGCAAATCACACTGCAGAGTTCACCACGCTGATGGCTCCAAGCGACTCTTACAGCCTGATGCAGCCAACATCTACGCCAAGCCTCTTTCTTGACTACACCTTTGCTTTCTCTGCGGACGGCACACCTGGCGCCATGGATCCAGGCTGGGGACTTTTCGATGTACATCCCACGCTAAACTGGCTTGATGCAGACTTCTCCTTCTTCGACAGCGAGCTGCATCAAGAAGGATGAGAATTCGCGTCAAGTTCCGCAAATACTTGGTTTCCCATGTCGCTGTGATCTCTGCGGTGTCAAGTCTCGATGTTTATTCCTACCTATCAAAATGGACATCCCTGCCATGAAGCATTTGATGAAAGCCAACTCTGTCTTGCGTCGCGATTCAGACTAGGTCGCCGGCCAATTTCACTCGTGTCCTTAAGCCTAGGGTCCGAGATGTAGCGAGCGGAAATGTGAAGTCTTGGCTTGCCGGCCAAAAATAGTCGGCACCGCGCGACGACACCACCGAACCAGCATCGAGAGAAAGTGGATTATGCATACAGTATATCTGGAGACCGAAGTTTTCAATTGAGACATGTCCCACCCAGAATCCCTTAAGCTACTCGGACATCGCCCATTGCCTTTTTCAATCCATACGCACCTTCGCTAGTCACGTGAGCATCCCTTCACTCGACATCATGGATGTTCAGATCCGCATCAAAGGCGATACCAGGATACTCTCCAGTGGAGATGCCGTTTCAGGAAATGTCCAAATTTTCTGCGCGCATCCGACGACAATCTTCAAGCTCACAGCAAACTTGATAGGCGAGAGCAGGTCTTCCTTGACCGGCGCACCAGGATTATTATTCTCGCGAAGGGAGGAAGAAAAGCACATCATCATGCGAGATCAGCATCACATAGTACCAGACATGCATACACCAAAACCAAATAGGCTGGAGGCTGTTCAACTTGGTGTAGGGTGTCACAGCTTCGACTTCTGTTTACGGATACCGTGGGTCCAGGAATGCTCTACATGCCCACTCAACACTCCAGTGGGAAGTCCAGATGAAAAGGACATAATAATCTCTTCCTCGAGACAGCAGCTTCCACCATCGATGAGCGGGCTTGAGAAGGGCACCGAGATTGCGTACCGCGTCGAAGTTGCTGTCACCACTATCAAGAATATGTTCAAGAGCAAAACATCGAAGGCAAGGTAGTCAAGCAGATTCTGAAACTGATATCTAACATGATACAGACCTGTCCAATCACTATCTGGCCTCTCGATATGGAGCTAGGACAGCGTGATTTCAAGCCAGCATCAAGCATAGCGACTACGACGGCCCGTGCAACGATCCTTGGTCCTAGCTCGCTACCATTAACGTCGCAAATCCTTTCGAACGACACCTATGGTCTTGCTCCAGCCGAGATTCTCATTTCAGCGCAAGTTCGATCAAACTTCCAACTCATCCAATCCACGTCTACACCATCAAAGCATCGCAAGATCGCCATGAATTTATCTGTAATCAGACTCAACCATCATCCGCAAGATCTGTATCTCCAGTCCTTTCAAATGCTACTTGTCGGTTACACAGACATCCAAGCAGGTGCAGCTTCGCACGGACAAATGACGTTCTGGACTTTGCAATCCCTCAGCAATATCGGCTTACAGATCTTTACAGCTTCAGATGCATCGGGAAAACAGCGCGAGATCAATTCGAGACTTTGGGACAGTGTAGTACTCGACGACAGCGTCGTACCAGACTTTGAGACTTGCAACCTGGCAAGAAGATATGAGCTTGAGGTGCTTATGGGCTGGCAGTGCCGAAGCGGTGAACATGCTGGGAGAGTGTTCCTTGTTCAAGTGAGAACACCGGTGCGCATCTCGTCTGGCATACTCACTGGAAGACAAGGCATCAAGGCGGTTTCGGGTTCAACGAAGGACGATTTGCAACTTACACAAGGCTGCCATGAGATGCAAAGCCTGAGGAACGATGATCAGCGGTTTTCGGCGCCTCCGACCTACGAGGAAGCTGTTCGAGCAGCAGTTAACGATGGGTTGAAAGGCTTTGGAACGAGGAATACTGGTGGCCGGTGATGTTCACCGCTTTCGTTGCACTCTGAAGACTGACCCATAGCCTTCAATTAAGGCTGCCAGCAATTGTCCGTACCTTCGTACAGTCAAGCTTCAGTAAGAGTGTTGATTTGCAACTAGAGCTGCAGTGCTTACCTACCTTCCCAATTAGCGTAGCCTTATCGTCCCGCATGCACCTCGGCTGCTTCCATATATCCGCATCTTAATCCAGAGTCTTATCACTCAACATCAATGGCGCCCTTTTTAAATCAACAACATTGAGTTTTGGCTTCGACCTTCATATACAAAACATTGTCGATTTTAAGAGGTTAGCATCGATGTCTCCGTGTTCCCAGCTTGTGGCCACGCGAAATTGAGGTGCGTAAGCTTGGATGGTTGCGTCGCACAGTGCAGATCTATCGCCGCTCAACCGTGGCTGATCATCAAAAACCAGCCCCTGGGAACTGGGGATGCAGTGTATAACACCAAACCACTACGGCGGGTCACCTAGGGCACGAAGCACTCTTCCACCCGACTATCTCCAGACTTGAATCATTTATCTCAGATAGAATATTGTCGCATAGGTCTATAGAGTATTTCACCAAGAAACTCAGTTGCGATACCATTTGTGTGTTGCTTACAGCCTCATATCGGCAGGTGCTGGTTTGGTGAATTAGCGCGCATTTGATGATTACACGCATTTGGTGCACGGATTCAACCAATGAACAGGGCAACAGATCAAGACAACCATTCAACGCGTAATCACTCAATAATCATGTCAGGAATTAATGATACGCTTGAACAGATTCGTAGATTGAAGGCAGGCAAAAAACTTGTATATACTACAATTGCAAAGAACCATGGTGTTGATCGCTCAACGTTGTCGCGCGCTGGACGGAGCGACGTCCAGAGCGGCGACCAGGGTTTGCACGACGTCATGCTGCCGACCTTTGGCAAGCGCTTGCTACCCCGGGCTTGTGGCGCTGCGCGGATTGCTCATGACGTTGGATCGACCAAGGCAGCGCTTGCTGTCAACCTCTATCGGTGACACGCGAAATGTGCGGACCACCCGTACAGTGGGACCGATAGTAGCTCCCAATCGGTCACCACAACCAATTACTATAGTAAAGTAGAGGCTTGGCAAGTGAATGTAGAGTATCAGAACCGTTACGTTAACACATACCCAGACTATTGTGAGCAACAGCCGCTCTTGAAGCTAATCAACTAGCCGGCACCCAGCCGTAGAGCCCATTGCGACTGCTGTGCCATTGCGACCCTGTGGCCCCAACAGCCCCGCGTGGCCCACCTTATTGTGCAAGCATGCTATACGCCTTATCACCTACCTACAGGAGGCGCTGGTTTGTATTGAACACACCCACAGGTATGCTGTGCCGGCAGACCTTATTAAAACCATTATTTTTGGCACCCTGATGCTTGCGCCAACCTCGAACAGCCACAATCATGCTCTGCCGCAGTTTTGCCACATACAAGTTTTTCTCTCAGTTTTAGCGCATCAAATGCTGCAAGCGCATCTGAAATTGGAGCTATAGTTTTGGACCTATCACGCATGGGGGCGGCTGTACCTCTTGGCTGCTGCCTAAACAACCGGCAACCAATCGCCACAACAGAGTGCCGGATGAAAAGGGCGCGGACGCGCATAGAAAAGAACAACATCCTCGATTATGAGTACAGTGACAATACATACAAGATGACAGGGGTGCAAAGCGAATCAGTTCGCGTATGATGCGCCACCAACTGCGTACGCGCCGGCTGCGGCGATGTTGTGTCATGTACGTTGTGGGCGCATAGCCTGGCGCGTCCATCGCACCCATAATCTATCCTTTTTCAACATGCGAAAGCGGCAACGACCACATCATATATTTCCTCGACAGTTGTACCTTTCTCAAGGATGTTCTAGAAAATGCGCGCATGGAGCACCTCGAGATGGTCTCACGACCGTTGCTCAATTTAGGTTCCGAACAGAACGCTCGCACACAAAATGATTCTTACGAGAGAGACAACTCTACTCACGTTCCCGACTTCACAGACCCGCCAGCAGAGGACTGCGAACCTCAGAAACAGATCGACCCTACGACAAGTTTGCAAGCTTTGCCCGAAAGCTGGCGACCGAAGCGCTCTCGTATGATATTTACAGCGATAGTGAACCTCGTACACCATGCGGCTGATATTTGGAGGGCAGGATGGACAATTGAGACATGCAGTTGTATTCTCGCGCTCCTCTCCTTATCAGGCATGATTGCTACACTCTGGAAACACCAGGATCAGCCTTTACCGGCTTGGCCGCAGATAATGTCCATTAACGCAATCGTCTCACTCTTCTCGTTGATCATGCGAGCTGCCATTGGCGTGGTGGTCGCTGAAGGTTTGTTATTATCAGACTCCACTTAGGATCAAGACGTGCGTATAAACTGACGATGTCCAGGTATCAGTCAGTCAAAATGGCAGTGGTACCGGCGAGCAAGAAGATTAGATGACCTACAGCGCTTTGACGCCGCTAGCCGTGGTATCTCCGGATCAGTTTTACTGTTACTCAATTTTCGTCTGAACAGGCCCTAGTAAGTACCTAGTAAACTTATCTGAAATTGACCTAACATCGAACAGCTTTGTCGCTGCATTGGGCGCATTGATTACTCTAATGGCATCATTAAGCGGTTTCACTTCCCAACAGTTGATTCGATTCGAGTCTTGCCTACAACGGGACCCAAGTGCTTCTGCAACCGTATTAAAAGCTAATCGCTTTGCTGGCAGGGGCGAAGAAATGTCGTCATCACCCTTTCGATGGACAGATTACGCCCCCATGAGCGCAGCTATTCAAGCGGTAATGTTTCAATCCTCACAGGACTACACAGCTACGCTGTCGAAAGGATGCTCTACGGGTAATTGCACGTTTCCTTCATTTCAAGGTGCAGCATTTTCTACGGTGGCAATAACGCATTCATGTGAAGACGTCACCGACATGGTTAGAGCAACACCTGCCTTTGCCATTGAAGACTACCAAAATGGAACCATTATAAGGACCCCAAGGACATACAAGCTCCTGAACGGCACCGAAGTTCAAGCAGTCAAACTGAACTTGACGACAATCTCGGGAGGCGATCTTTATCAGATGACTGGGACTTCGGACAACTTTGACGACAATTTTGCTACTACCTATGACGATTATGTTGACAAACTTGGTAGCATCGTATTGTTGGTAAAACCGGATGAGGACCGGTTTTGGGAATACCTTGCGGTCCGATGCTCTTTCTCCCCAAGTGTTAATACATATGCAGTTACTATCAAAAACGCTGTCCTGGAAGAGAATCTAATCGAAAGTACACCGATAGGGACGAACATATGGTGGACTTGGGGTGGCCATTCTGGGGGTGCAGACACACTGTGGGACAGGTGGCAATACAAACTCGCACGAAATTCGACTCTAAGGAACGGCACCCCTACAGAATGTCGTGGCGGGGAACTTGACAGAAACACCGAAGTGCAAGACTTTATCACAACAGTTGCTCCTATCAACATCGAATTTGCGCCTTCGGTTGAAATGACAAGCGATCCCAAAAACCTAAAAGACAGACAATCTTATCCCCAGGATTGTGTATGGGGTATACACGAGGGATCCATTGCAGGCATCAATCTTCAGCTTCAAAGACTGTTCGCCAACCAATCTATTCAAGGCAATCGTCCCGGGCCCGAAACACCCACCCATCTACGCCAGCTGTTCGCCGAGGGCAACATTACTCTGGCAACTGTAAATGAATTCATGGCACGTCTCAGCACTGCGATGACCAACGTCATGCGTATACACGGGGACGAGGATCCTTCGGCTTATGTTAACGGCACGATACTTTACTCTACGACGTGCTTGCGGATTACCTGGCTTTGGATTACCTTTCCTACTACGATGATTGGCTCGGTTTTCATCTTCTTGGTGTTTGTGTGCATGGAAAACAGGAGTGTGCCTAGAGACAGACTGTGGAAAAGCTCCATACTTGCGGTACTGTTCTGTGAGGTCGACGTTCCAGCGATCAACGGGTCACGGACACTTACAAGACGCGACATGGAAGAAGTGGCCGGATCCACGAGCGTGAGCCTAGATAAGACAAATGATACGTTAAGGCTCATCTCAAGGTAGCCGCTGGAGGCGACCTGAGCAAGAAGGGAAAGACCGTCGATCAAAGATTTCTTGTCCGAGTTGTCTCGCAGACCACAGCCTTGCAGTCAACTAACCCGAAGGCTGTGCGAGACTGACGTCTCATCAAGTAACCGCATAGCCAGTCCTGTACATTGTACTGCAGCTAAGCTTACTGCACAGTTCCCTATTACTTCACACAGCCAGGATTGTTGCAGCAATTTACAATCGTCGGCTAGAGGATATTCAGTGCCTTGCTGACTTTATACATGTAGCCTTGGACTTTGTATGAAGGCAGAGTCACGCCACTCCAGTTGCTTACACGATACTGGAACTAAACGACGACCTTAATCGCTTTGACTAATGTGTGGGCTCTGCTGGCCTTACTCATCAATAGAGACCACCGAAATTGCTGAACTAGCGCCATACCACTAAATGAGCTTCTGCTCTGCGTCCTTCTCAACACAACTTGGAGGACGAAACGATGTGTCTTATCCCTCCTTGCACCTTCTTGACGACCAAAAATGAACTCCGATGCTTGATGTTGTCTAAATCCCTAGCAAGATGTTGGATACCACTGCTAAAAATAACAGTTTTCGAAATCTCCCATACGCTTTGTTGCACTTTCAGGATACTATAGCTACATAAAGACCTGAACTCTACTCTCTACTGAATCTACCGAGCCTCTTTGCCTTTCATCTTGATGACTCGTTGGCACTTGCAGATATGTCTGGCCAGCTTTCAAATTGCGTTTCCAGGGTGCCATATTAAAAACAAACACAAGGACAAATTATGCTTGGCTGTGTTCTCCTCCCTCTCTGAAAACAAATATTGCCAATCTGATGCTTTTTCAAAGTCAAAGTTTTCAACAATGGCGCCGCAGATATATTTTTGCTCTTACGCTGCTCTGTTACAGATTAAAGGACGCTCCCACAATCAACTGTCCCCGACCATTTATCACAACTGTCAGGACATAGCTCTGCACCACTACGCCATGCAGTCAAAAGGTACGTGTGATAAACGATAGTTGATCGCGGTGCAGAACAGTAGAGATATTGTGGTGGCGTGGGCCGTTGTGGTATACTGATAGCTACGGTAAACAATAACGTAGGACTATCGGGTCAATGGAAGACTGCGCTGAGTTCCTACCTAGGTAGGAGATGGCGATATATACTGTCCCTGTAACGTGCTAGTCCATAACAATCTAAGCAAGGTAATCGAATCTTGTAAGGACCGACTGACACCGCAACAGTTACTCAGTTAGCGCAAACCCGTCTCGGGGCTAATGCCTGACAACAACCCATTTTAAAAAAAACTGCTAGTTAGGGGGTATTCTATGTTGAAACACTGAGTAACGTGTTTTACAAGCGAGTCGTCAATACAAGCAAGTCGTCAGCCCCACCAACTTTGATTAACCACTTCAAGTCTTTGTACAATGCCTCAATGCTACGCTCCTCAAGTACCTTCAAATGAAGCTGATATCCAGCTTGCTATTAATTCTATTGAAGCAAAGCAAATTCAGTCTGAAAACCGTGCTGCTTCAACCTACAATGTCCCTCGTATGACAATGCACAACTGACGCGCTGGGAAGCCTGCCCGACACGATTGCCAGCCCAACTCAAAGAAGCTCACCCAACTAGAAGAGGAGGTGATTATACATTATATACTGGATCTGGATTTTCGTGGATTTGCGCCTACATATGCAGCTGTACGTGATATGGCCGATTGTTGCGAATCGTGCCCTAAGCAAAGCTCGTAGACACTATTCTATTGGTTCTCAGGGATGAGCGGAGGTACAGAGAGTCTGTAGGGGTTTGACAGTCACCTAAGCAAGGCTCGGGTGGTCAGGGGTAGACTATCCGGGCGAGGCGGTAGTAGCCTTCGTAATAGTCAAGGTAATAGCCATCTAGTCGGAGGCCGTGACAACTGGGGGCAATGAGTAGTACAGAGTATACTGTCTGGCTCGAGAGCGAGTGAGATTCCAATAACAAAGTTGATTGACGAGGTTTAACACACTGCCATAAGGGCATCGTGTCTACTTGCTATATACTTGAGCAGAGGATTGCTCAGATTGCTCGGTACTGAGTATACTGCTCGTGCTGAGTATACTGTTCGTACTGAGTATACTGATCATGCCGAGTATACTGCTCGTGCCGAGTATCGCCAACGCGGCCGCACTGCTTGGGTCGATCGAGTCGCTTGAGTTGCTCAACTGAAAGTGATGATCATACTGAGTATCACCGACTTGGTCCCACTGCTCGAGTCGATCGATACTACAGTTCCTCGGCTCCTCTTGTATTGTTACATAGTCCTGTTCGTTCAGTGTTGTTGCAGGTTGCCCTTTGATCGTAACACTGATAAGCTGCTTGCTGCGCACGGTGCAGGTCACGTTGGCATCCATTCGCCGCGCAACTTTGTCAAGCGTACAGACAGTCTTACAACGCGTTTCAATCAAACTTACGACAGGCAGAGAGCTCCGTGCAAAGGTCCTGTATTAATCAGGGGCTGGTTTAAGCTTGTAGTGTAAGGGGCTGACCCTGAGGGTAGATGCCGGATGAGATCAGATGAATTTGATAAGGTTTGCCGGCTAGCAGCCGGCAGCGTTTTTGTGCGTGTGTTGGCGTTTGGTTATACCAAGCTCCGAGGCTTGTGCTAGCCGAGGCGCTAACCGGGCGCAGCCCGGTACACAGAAGCAGGGGACCTTAACAAAGGGAGAGGGAGAGGATATACTTGCTCAAAAGGAGGCCAACCAGCAGATTGCTTGTGAAGAGCGTCAAGAAGGAGAGCGATCAGGTCTCAGCCACCAGGCTCTGGCACGCTGCAGCAGGTGCAGAGAGCCTGGGCACAACTTACGTACGTGTAAAAAGGATACTGTAGATACTACTTAACCGCCAAAACATCAGCAGCCTCCTCTTTGGCGCTGCAAATTGTCCGAACGACAATTTGTAACCAAAGAATCTACCAAGATAATGCATCCAATCGAGTGCGGTGTACAGGCTATAAGCGAGGTGCAGCGGACGCTATAAGCAAGGTGCATTAGCGTGGTCTGGACAACGATACGGGTGACGATTAGCACCCTCAGGTCGGAAATCAAAACCACTAAATTCAAAACACCAAATGTCAACATCAACACCACAACACGCAATATTGTACAGTAGATGAGGCAATGTATTAGTTGTAATAGTACATCTCGCATTTGTGATCTTCATGTCCTGATATTGTACAATCTGCAACCCCTATTAACCTCAAACATGGCGCAAAGCTCTTGGTTTCTTGCTCCCCAAAGGATTGACGCGTTATCTAGTACTATAACTGACCAGCCAGGAGTTTTATATGGCACGACCTGATGCTCCAGGAAGTGCTCCATGATCTCTGAGGTAATCAAGCCTTGAAAAATGAGGTAGTTGAGTTAGTCAATGACAGTCATTGCATGCAAAAGCAACCATTTGCTCACTCCTCTGCATTGAATACGTCGCCTCAACTGACTGCCCAATATGACTCCAGCCATACTTTCTATCCCCGATCTGCTTGTTACAAGCACTCTTGTTGATGGCGGTGATCTGCTCTGCCTTGTACTCTCCAACTCTTGCTCTGTACACCCGCCAGAGCGGCTTGCTCTGCTCTATTGCTCGCTTTGTTGCCAGCTTCTGGGAGTACTGTATTCGCTCCAGCGCTCGCCACACAGTTGTTAGAGACGCCTCTATATCAAACTCTTCATATAAAAAGTCTTGCATTTTTTTAAGATAGGCATGAGGTCTACTCTTTAGGTACTCTACAAGCGCATCCAGCTGCAACTGGCGCAGCAATGGAGGCCTCCCTAGCCTCACAGAAGGTGGCAGATAGCAGACTCCCCAGTACTCCAGGCTCAGCCAAAGCTTCACCACACATTTGCGATTAAATCCAGTGAAGCGCCAAACCTCAGTATTATTTTTGCCGGCAGCAATATGCTCCATGACGGCTTGTTGAAGCATACGTGATAACCGGCGATCTGTGTTGACCATTGCGGCAGGACGGCAGCGGCAACAACAACACCAAAAAAGCGATTGTGATGTGAAAATCAAGCTTCAAAAATGATTCTTATGATGCTATTAGGATAGATCAAGCGTGCATGCTTGACTTTGTATGGCAAATTGGCTGTGGTGCTGAGATTTGACGTTCAGAACTACCCCTCGAAATTCACGTGTGCCATCGGTATTCTGAAATCCGTTATATACGTAGCTTAGACCCCTTGAAAGCTTTCTTCAACGACATCGTCCTACGTCCGTAATCGCCTAGCTTCCATCTGCAACGACTGAGTCCTATCGAATAGATCATATTGCCTCGCGCGCCATAATGCTCGAATCAACGACGGCCTAAGCAAGGCCAGTGCTGGTGGCCCAAGTAGCATCGTTGTTGAACGATGCAGCAGCATCGAAGTCATGAACACCGCCATTGCTTGCGATGTATCCGTTGTTTGCATAATGACGGACCCAGCGTGTAGGGTAACCCCAAGCACGAAGCGACGAACCGCTACCGGTGAGGCCAGACTGCGGGCAGAAGGTGGCGTCCTCCTTGAAAGCCTTGGAGCCGTCGTTGGCAGCAACCTGAAGCCCAAAGTTGTAGTGTCGAATGTAGCTTCCCGCGGTGTCCTTTGACTCGAATGAATAACAGCCACTGTTGCCAAGGCCAGTATGGATGGTCCAGCTGGCAGCCTGCTTCAGAGCAGTGCTGCTGGATGATGAGACAACTTGTGTGTTAACGGTGGCTCCAGTGTGTGCGAGATAGCGGTCAGTGTACCCAGCTGTGGTAGCCTTGAACGATACAGAGCCACCAACAGTGTATGTCGGGCCGCTGACCAAGGAGGTAGTGGCGTACTTAGCGGCTACGATATCGGCCTGTACTGAGTTCTCTGTAGCATCAGTTGGGTAACCGGTGGTCATCACTCCCTCGTAGAAGGTACCTTGGGCACCATTGCTATTGTCGCCGCCAATACCAAGGATTATGGCACCTTCCTTGTGCATGGGGTTGTAGCCAGATCCGCTTGGACGTGCGCCGCTGTAGTAAGTCGACAGCGCACCGGACGCGCCATTACCACCGCGGATGGCCCAGTTGCCTGGCCCTCCCTTGATCACCGCAGTGACGAAGCGGTATGTGATGCTAGGGTCACCAGTGTTCTGCGTCGCGCCCAGGCCAGAGAAGAGACCGTTCTCAAGATCAGCCATAATCCATGGGCCGCTGCCGGCGCCGCTACCCCAGACAGTGTTGTCACCGTAGTAGATGGCCTCCATGTGACCATCGCCTGTGTCGAGGTTGTTGGTTTCGGCGTTGCCGTAGTCGAAGCAGCAAGCACCATTGTAATGGGTACCGTCGAGTACTGCGTACATGCCTTCCGCTGCGTCTCCTGTGGCAGAACCGCTGACTTTGTTATTGCGGTATCCTGTGCCGGGCGAGATGAAGACACCATACGCCTTCTGCCCATTCAACGTGACTGGTGCGCCAATTGCGCCCGCGAGGTTGTCGTAGCCATTGGACTCCGGGCCGTTGAAGCCGCCAGGAGGTGCCTGAGTAAGGTGATTCTCGCGGCCAGATTGATCATAGACGATGGTGATAAGGCAAGTCGTACCGGAACAGAAGGTGTCTTGAGCAGCAGCATTGGCGACACCGCCAGCAGACTTCGGTGCAACGTTGATTGTCGTGTTGTCAGAGCCACGTTTCACTTGGTAAAGTGCTCCTGTGTAGGCACTGTACAGGGCCCGGGTTGTGCTGTGTGCGGCAATGCAGGGCGTGTTGCCAGAGGCATAGATATCGCATGGCGCGGCGGCAACGATGGAGCTCGTGGCAGCTAGAGCAAGAGCGATCACGCTGGAGCGTGAATAATCAAATCTTGAAGACATGATTAGGTGAGACAAAGGGGGAACGGGCGGTAGCGCTTCTGGGTTGTCCGCACAAAGCTTGTTGGCTGTACGTCCTTCCGGTGGGCGTCCTTCGTCCTTTTATAGTATTATGCTTGACTTTTGAAAGCATCTGCACTCGCCCATGAGGGCTACGCGTCACGGCGATAGCAATTTTCTCTGGTTGCCAGGTGGTCTGCATTAGCTTAGGACTCAGTTCCGGGGCCCCAGATTAAGGATCGGTGAATGTCCGAAGCAGAAATTGCGGGGATCACGAGAACCAACCTCGTACTGGCAGAAGGCATGTCACTAACGAACCCCTTGATCATGTCCATGTGAGCAAGATGGCCTAAAGTGCGGGTGACTTTTGCGGGGTGGACTCGGCAGAAGACCGACAAATTGCTTGGGCTAGACTCATCTCCGAGCGAAGATTTCGAAGCACAGAGCCTAGGTCATCATTATATTGCTTCGCAACCTTCTGCAGTAGTGAAAAAGGGATATAAGCTTTGCCGAGGCGAGCTTATTGAGGACAAGGGCCTGTTGATTGCGGCTTGCTATTGAACGAACACCATAACACGCCCCACCCCGTTCTCGGCTAGTCTACGCTCCACCAATGAAGAGCCTGCGGTATTTACATTACCTACGTGGTAGGTCTTCATGTACGAATGATGGCATGGTTTACCTCGCTTAGTTCGTGGTAATACCATGCCACGCATGCTCAGTATGGCCGTAAGTGATCGGGTGACATGCGGGACACGTGTTGAGAACTAGGATACAGTTTTCTTTGACGTCCTACATATCTGCACGATCAATCTGTCCTATTACGCTGAAAGATTCCTCCAGACTGCTGTCTCGAATCTGGCGATGACATCCCAAGTCTTACGGTCCGCCCAGGGTGAGACTTGCGTAGCAAAGAAAGTTGCCAGTCCACGCTCACGGTTGATACCCCAAGACAAATTTGGCAATCCAGACCACGACAATGTACCTGCAGGTCGAAAATAGTTCTCTCTTTGTACGTCCTCCTCAATCAACAGCCCACCAAGCCCATGGTTCGTGACAACGCCCTCCATGCTATCGTCAAGTGCACACTTGTAAGCAAATTCGCCCATAGCCCGTAGATCTCGGAGAGCTGAGCTACCCGGGGAGAATTGTGGGGTGAACATCTGATCGACTGAAGCCCTCTTCAGAAGTACAGGAGAGTCTTTTAACAGATCCGCCAGCACTCTCGTGAAGTCATGTGCATTGGCGTACAGGCCCAGGCCACCGGCCTCCTTCACTGGCTCAGGCGAGAATGGGTTAGGTCCATCTGTCAATGCGCCATCTTCCTTACGTGTGGACATGCGCATGAGCTTTTCTGCGACGTGTGGCTTGCGCGATAAATGCCAGGTAAATGACTCGACACCAAGAGGCTTCGCTATATTGGTTTCGACGTACTCCTCAAAGCTTGTACTAGTAAGTCGCTCAATGAGTAAGCTGGTCCAGTCAAGTCCGCCGCTGTAGTTCCAGCTTGTACCCGATTCGTATCTTCGAGGATAGGTCAGGCCTTTTGCAACGTCGCCATCGAAGACTACAGCTGGAACTTCTCCCCGGGAAGCGCGCCATGCCCACAAGGTAGGATCAAGCCAGTCGTAAGTCGCGCCGCTCGAGTGCGTAACAAGATCGCGCAAGGTAATCACGGTCGTGGCTTGGTCGTATTTGAGCTGTCCATCCTGCGTCTGCGTAACGATGGGCTGGGATGCAAGTTCCGGAAGATGGCGATCCAAGGACTCATCCAGGGTGACGAGTCCTTCTTCCACCAGTTGCAGCGCTGCGATAGAAGCTATAAGTTTTGTGCAAGATGCGATGAAGTACGTCTGATCGAACTCGAGAGGAGACGCGTCGTCAAAGACGCCGTTGGTTCCTGAAACTTTCTTGTAGACGTAGTTACCTGCATGAGTAAGCCATGACCCACTGCAGCCAGCAAAGTGGACACAAACCGTGCTGATCCACAACCGCCATCGCAGCACCAGGGATGATGTTGGATGCTTTGGCTGTTGCATTGTCAAGAAAGGCCTCGAAACTCTGCATGATGTCCTAGAAAAGGGTTGTAGCCGTATGTTGCAGGATGATTACGGATAGATTTGGTTGAGTTTGTACTCTAGAATTTAGCGAATATATGTTACCTTGATCATCACTTAGCTTGCTCAAGACGTGTTGTGTTCGGCCTTCACGTTATGTCCGACTCGCGATGCTGGCACACTATTTATAAGCGACTGGTACGGACTGTTGGAATCTGGTGTTGGAATATGATGGTGCTTCTGTAAGCGCCGTACTCTTTTGAGCTATGCACTTCTCAATTCGTAACAAGGGGACCGATTTGTGCAGGTGAGAGCGGACACCATGCGGCCCTATTTTCTTACCTATCTGTTGCCTCGCGCCTGGGCTCAGTCCAGCAGGACGCTCTGAGAGACGTTACGACGATGAATACTTGAATTTTGGCAGTCCCGAGCGCCTCGATGCGCAGCCAGACAGGGCAATTTTCCCACCCTCTATTTCGACCGCGTCACACCAACAGCCCTGGCATACAGCTTGCATATCCACGGCAACCGTTATCGCTCTCTTGTTGACATAAACGATACGTTCGTGTGTCTTGGTAAGCCGACAGAGCGCCGTAAAGAGGGCGTGCCGAAGAACGAGTGACCGAGACACCGATGTCGTTAGCGACCGAAAGGGCGTTCGCCAGCGCGGCGGGAAAGTGCGGGCCACAACACCAACTTCCAGCCACATCCTCTTCTCCTGGTTCCTCGCCGCCAGGTCTGCAACACTTCTCCCATCCTCAAGACCATCGGCGAACATGCGCAACTGCCACGGAGACTTGCCGAACATCGTCATGATGCACGTAGAGATGCCGAGCTTTACCCCTCTCATACCCTCGTGACCGGAGAAATTGCTGTCTCCCTGCACCAATCAAAAACTGCGGACGGCGGCGAATTGTACAAAAAACGTTGATTAACCCCAGTTTCCCCACATGAACTCGGGTGTCGTGGGGGCGAAAGCCAGCATGCAGGAACGACTCCTCATTTCGGGATGGCTGACGCGGATGGCTTCAGTAGCTTCAGTCCAGTCGTATTTTGTTTATCGTGTCCCATTTGCAGGAACAGAGAATAGACGAACGAAATGCATTTCATGACGCCAACGTTATGGGCAGGTTTGAGCTTGCTTACGGCTTCTGTATTGGGTGCAGCGACCTTTGAGAACCCCGTCATTTGGCAGGACTATCCAGATCTAGATGTCTTCCGCATTGGTGATGTGTTTTACTACTCCTCTTCCACCTTCGCCTTCTCGCCCGGCGCGCCAGTGTTGAAGTCATACGATCTGGTCAACTGGGCACCAGTGTCCCACAGCGTGCCACGTCTGAACTTTGGACCCAAATACGATCTGAACAATGCCACGAGCAGAGCGTATGTGCAAGGCATCTGGGCCAGTACACTTCAATATCAAGAGTCCACCGACACCTTTTACTGGATGGGCTGTATCGCAGATGGTCCGACATACGTATGGACGGCAAGTGGCACGAATGCAGCGGCGAACAATGGCGAGGTCGAGCACTGGAATTGGACCTCTCAAGGCAGCCTACCTCGATGCTACTACGACAATGGATTGCTGATTGACGACGATGATACGATGTACATGGCGTACGGCAAGACGACCATCAACGTCGCGCAACTCAATGCCAACGGAACAGCGGAGGTCAAAACCGAGGCAGTGTACACAAGTCCAGACGAAGTGTATATCGAGGGATCGCGGATGTACAAGATCAATGGGACGTACTACATCTGGGTGACCAAGCCTGCAGATGACGAGTACGTTCTCAAATCTGACAACATTTGGGGCCCGTACGAACGCCAGGTCCTGGTCGACAGCATCGAGGGTCCGCTTTCAAATGCTGGTAACGCCCATCAGGGCGGTATCGTCAGCATCAAAGACGGCCAGTGGTACTACGTGGCATTCTTGGATGCTTATCCGGGAGGGCGCATTCCTGTTGTGGCTCCTCTAACTTGGACAGAAGATGGATGGCCGCAGGTCGTTCGTGTGAATAATGAATGGGGCAAGACCTACCCAATTCCTGTGCACATGAACAAGACCGTACCAGTAACGACCGGCGTGGATTCTTTTCAAGGGCCTTTGTTGAGCCATGAGTGGGAGTGGAACCACAACCCCGATGACAGCGCCTGGTCGCTTGACGGCGGTCTGCACCTGCGGACAGCCACCGTTACTGAAGATCTCTTTACTGCGCGCAACACGTTAACGCGACGTATACCAGGACCAAAGTCTGCCGGTACATTCAAAATCGATGTGAGTGGACTGAAAGATGGAGACCGTACAGGTGCAGTTTTGTTTCGGGATATTGCCGCCTACATCGGCGTCTACAAGTCTGGCAATACGTCTTCGCTTGTCATGGTGGATGAGCTGAACCTAGGGACCAACTGGGTAACGAACTCGACTGGCACCGTCGCGGCAACTGGCCCAACCCTTGCTGCTAATACCACTAACGTCTGGTTGCGCATCGAAGCCGACATTACGCCAGCTTTTTCCGGTACAACAGCTGTAAGGGTAACCACATTTTGGTACAGCACCGATGGGCATTCATTTACACAACTGGGCGAACCATTTTCAATGACCAACACTTGGCAGTTCTTTACCGGCTATCGTTTTGGTGTATTCAATTTTGCAACTCAGGCTCTGGGTGGGAAAGTGACAGTCAAGAGCTTTGATCTAGAGATGCTGTAAGCGATCATGTACACTACTGAAACTAGATGCCGAGAACAAACTTTATTCCAAAAGAGAGTGACATGCGAAGCAAGTGAGCTCTACAGAAGTTTGATTGAAGCGCGAGACTCAAACCAGTACGACGGTCCTCTTTTCTCGCCGAAACAATACCGTATCGCGATATGACCCACTTGGCGTCACCTTTGCTCGCATCAAACAATTCGAGCGTTTGAGAGGTGCACATCACAATACAATCTCAAGCTGAGTGATGAACATTATGAACTGTACTCTGTCTTCCTTTGACCCCTCAATGCCTACTGACCCTTACTATCACCCTAACCCGAAATGCCGTAATCCATGCCTGATTCTGCGAAAAATTTCAAGCTACACATCACTGATGATTTTCGTTGGATCTTGGGTGCATCGCGAATAGGTCCTCACCCCTGGAGAAACAGCCAGACAGATCGTTGCGATGGATTGCGCACGATTGGACCACCGCAACAACAAAGTAATGGTTGAAATATTTCGACTGGTAAGCCCAAGAGACATACATTAATCCCTTCCCAAACTAGAAACTGGTCTCTGAGGATGAGAAAAGTAACACCGGCCTGCACTTCGTAGGACTATTGTCAAACAGAGTAGATGCAGTTTTGATTGCGCTTTTGCACGGTTGGCCAGGCAGCTTCATCGAGTTCCTACCCATGCTGGATCTCATTCGACAGAAGTATGTTGCCACCTCCAAGCCGTATCACTTCATTGTTCCGTCATTACCAGGGTTCACGCTCAGTTCAGCTCCTCCAGACAAGCCCTAGACCGCACCGGATACCGCACGCATCATCGATAAAGCGATGCGAAAGCTCGGTTTCGAAGAGTATATGGCACAAGGTGGAGACGTTGGGAGCTTGATTGCGACACTTTTGGGCACAACGTATGAATCTACAGTTGCCGTGCATTGTATGTTTCACCGTCCTTTCGACGTTTTGGAGCTGATGTTCTGGCAGTGAATCAATTTCCTAATTTACCTACTGTTGATCCGAGCGATAATTCATTGACCGACAAGGAAACGGAAGCGATCGAACGCACGACGGAGATGAGCAGCACAAAAACAGCTGCAGCTATTCAGCAAAGCACCTGGCCAGGCATCCTCGGGTTCGCCATCTCTTACAGCCCATTGGCTCTTCTGGCGTGGTGAGTCTTCTCATCTATTATCGTTCATCTCACTGACGGACTTCGTTAGGACCAGGGAGAAGTTTCTGGAATGGACCGGTGAAGATCCTGATATTGATTTTCTCTTGACAAACGTGTTATTGTACTGGTTCACAGACCGTTACTCGACCTTAATCTATACATATCGCGATAACTTTGGTCCGGACCCTTATTGCAGGCTGCTTGGGCGCATTGAGAAGCCGTTTTGGAAACTCGTGGTTCATGAGCGAGCTTGTACCTGAGCCAAGGAAGGCGGTAGAGGAAGCTGGGCAACTGATCTTCTATCTTTAACACGAAAAAGTAAGTCTCCTATGCAGCGATTGATTTCGAGACCGTTTGGACTAACCGAATTGCAGGGCGGGCACTTCGCGGCGCTTGAATGTCCTTGCGCTTTCTTGCAAGACATTGGAAATTTGTGAACATTGCATGGAGCTAGGGACAAAGCAAACAAACTGTGTCAAAACGGTGCACAGCTAGATCGAAGTCGGTGCGTATTTACTCGGAAGGCATGCTATTCAGGTCCAGAAATCTTCCAATTATTTCGGCTCTAGTTAATCACCCCAAACTCGCTCGCCAACCTGCACAGTGGTCTACCTCGCTCCAGAGTGTTCGCATCGCACTGCAATCGATTGTCCTCAATACAAGTCAACTGACCACCGCCTAACACGTCCATCAGTTACTAACCCTGGCCATATACACGTGAGAAGGAACCTACAGTTGTTGGCTGCAGACGGCACGCAGCGCCCACTCTGACCGTTGATGTTGCATACGTCCTGCTTCAAGCTCGTGTTTGCGACGCAGCAAGATCCCGTCGCGACAGGACGACCGGCGTTCTGCGCACTGGGAAAAGCGGTGGCGAAGGCGGCAAGTGGGAGGATGGTGTAGATTGTGGTCTTCATGTTCGGTAGCTGAGAGTTGGAGTTTTGGTACGAGCGCGGATGTGGATTAAAGAGGGTCGAAGAAATTATTAGTGTAAGGTGTCTGGCCAGCAGGTAGGAGTAAAGATTAGTGAGTAAGGCGGAAGAGTGTTGATGGGTGCGGATAGTACAAGGTCATCCGTCGCACGCAGACATCACTTATATACGTGCGAAAAGGCTTTTATGAGACGTTGATATCAAGTTTGTCGATGCGGCATTGTGCTTCCTGCCGAGGTGCCGCAGCCTGCCTCAAGTTGCCTCAGGCTACCATCGCATGACTGCAAGCGAATGCGTTCTCAAGCATTTGGAGAGTCTGAAACAAAACGGTGGAGTTGAGCATAGGTAACTTTGGCATGAACCACCGGCTAAGATTGCTTGCTAGTGCTATTTTGTCAGATGCGTCACAGACCGAAATTCTGAAACACATATTGGCTTGTATGGAATGGCGAACATCGTATTGAACAAGGTATGCATTGTTCAGCGACTTGACGAGGCAAAATTGAACGGACCTTTGGTTGCATTGATGGGCGTTTGCTTTAAAGCAAGCAGTTTGTGAAGGAGGGTGTGACTCTCCCACTGGTGGGCCAAACGCCTGATCTGGTTCGATGTGTGGATCATGCGATTGCTCTACTATGCTCATGGTATCAAATGCCTTCTATTTCCTTCTCGAGCTCGCGCTGACCAACTTTTTCTTCAAATGCTTAGGTATCTTCTCCTTCCTCTTCTCCGCTTTTTCGGCTTTGACGGCTTTCTTGTGTGCCAACTTCTCGTCCTTGTCCATGTTCTTCTTGCCCCGCGAAGGGCCTTTGTCGAATATGCTCTGGTCGACATCACTCCCGTCTGACTCGTCTGAAGACTCCAGTTCCACTCCGCCTTCACCCGACTGGTCGCCTTCCGCAGCGTTCGCGGCATTGGCAGCGGTGACCGTGTTGGCGAGCAGATCTTGGTAGGGCAGTGACGAGGCTTCGCCGGCGTTGACGAGGTCGGCATCGCGCTCTTTGTCGTAGACTTGGTCGAGGGTTTGCGGAATGTATTGATTACGGAAGACCTCATCATCCTCCTCTTCTTTTTTCTTCTCTTCCTCGGTCTGCGGCTCGCGCTTCATGACTTCACGCGCATTGTTTGAGATAGCTTCGATCTCCTTGACCTCCTTTTCTCCCGCCTCTGCGGTGATGAACGCAAACGCTTTTCGCTCGCTGAGAACCTCGACATTCCTTGATCGGTAGAAGTCTGACACGTTCTTGACGTCCATGCGTAGGAATTCCAGAGAGCGCGGGTGGTCGTGTTCAACGGCTTGCGAGACATCGATCATCCACTGTCGTCCCTGGTGGTAGAGCACATTGTACTCGCTCAAATCTGCGTGCACAAGGCGACACGTGTGGTACAAGATGCGCATGTATGCCAGCATCTCAATATACAGGTCTGTCCATTTCGCGTCCTCTTCCTCGCCTGTCAAACCATCAAAGCGCACATCCTTAAGTCGCGGCGCGGGCTTGCCTTTGCGGTCGCCTACAAGACCCATGACGAGTACGTGTGTGCGGAGCGCAATGGGTTCGGGCGAGGGGATGCCGGCATCGTGAATGCGTGCAAGATTGCGACGCTCTTTGTCAGCCCAGAGCTTCACCATTGCGCGGTTGTTGCCTTTGCTGTATCCCTGGCGGAATCGAAATTCGCCTTCGACGTATTTTGCCCTATCCTTGAAAACCAGGATGGCTGTCTTGTAGACTTTGACTGCGCGGTGTGTCTGCTCGCCATTTTCAGGGTCTTCGCTGATGGCATGGTAGACGTTGGCTTCCTTGCCAGTGGAGATGACACCGTTCAATTCGCTGATTGTGTTGCGGTTGATGAGCTGGAGCAAAATCATTTGCGTTCTCCTGTCCAGCACCTGCTCGGTTGTGGCGCGGTCTGCTTTATCCTTGTCACGCGCACTGCCGCCAGTGGCACCGCTGAATCGGTTGTCGAGGCGGATTTTGCTGGCATGCTTCGACAGTGCTGCGACCTGATCGTCTAGTGAGAGATTTGTGTTTGCGGAGGGCTTTTGTGGGTTGTTCTTGGGTTTGTAATCGGCGGGTATCGACGGGTCGTTTAGTTTCCGCTGTCTATTGTAGGTTTTTGTGAAGTCACTGGGATTGCTTGATTCGACCAGGTCGGGCGCATCTTCGTCTTCTGAATCGAACAAGTCGTCAATATCGTCGTCGTTCTCGTCGACAGGCTCATTTGCTTCTGTTTCTGGTATTTGTGGCACCTGGATGTCTTCTTGCTTGTGCGGCTGCGCTATTTCTTCGGTGTTCGCCATGTTGGGTGCTAACCAAATGGACGAGTAATTGAATCTAAAGTTTTAGGCACGAAGTTCCACTACTCTGGCTTGCAACAGGCTTTATAACTCTTGTTGGTGTTTTGGTGTGGCGCACAAAAAAGTTCATGTTCGCGTCACTGTAGAGCCGGCAGAATGGTGGGGGCGGGGCTAGTGAGAGCGGTGAACCGAGCGGTGGGCACTGTCTCGCACCTCCCATGCAAAATGAATCGCGACACAGCTCAGAACAGTAACATCTACCTCTAGAAACAGCCTAGTCAATTTTGTTTCTCGGCAACTGATTTGTATTGTTCTGGTGCTCTTTCAGAGCTTGTACACATTATGTCTTCCACACGTCTCGATCAACGACCTGCTATGCCGTCTGCAGCAATCAGCCTGCCACAAAGCCCGAAGAAACCCGTCGCAAACCAACTGAGTCAAACTTCTATCAGGACTCTACTGTTGCTTTGCTGCTGGGCTGTTCCTTGGATCACGATCTTTCGAGCTCAGCAGAGGCTTCTTTTACCGTCACTGTCATGCTCTCCATAATACCTCGGTGACAATGTTACTCACCCCCCTGTGTGCACGAGAGCTCGAGACGCACCTTTGCTCAGCATCTGTACCAACCCTGGTACATAACATTCCAATTCTTATCGAGAGGTATGCAGCCGAAAAACGTCAGAACGGGTGCCAGAAAGTCCAAGGCCATGACCATTGCAATTGACAGCCAGACAATGACATGATACAATTTGGAAAAAAAAATTGTGTATCAGAAGCCATGCGCAAACCGACCATTTGAGAAAAGCGACTGCGACAACGTTGATGATCTGAGCAATCCAGAAGTAGCTGTATTGCAGGATGTGCGGAAGCACCAAACGGTCCATGATGTGTCTTCCGAGGCCCCAACCAACAACCACCTGTGTCAACGAGGTTGTTGTGATGTTGAGGCACTCGGATGTCCCATTAGGTTCTACCAATATTGTTCTCTTGCCAAACATAACGACCGTAGGCTCACTCATACTAGCCACGATCAGCAGATAATGGAATGATTACGACGTGGAGTGTGACTCTAATTCTCCAGCTTCATTGAGCCCACTCAACTTACAAACAATGCGTGACGCAATCCCACGTCTTTCTAGGACTGAGTTTATGCGCTGACGTGCTTACGGGTTGTTTGCGAAATACCAGCCGAACTCCGTGACCTAAGATATTGAGCTAATCCTACGCGTACGTTGTGTACTGCCTGCATATATGTGCTAAGACGCTATATTTCAGCAACCTCATCAAGAGGAGATCTACTACACCCTCTGCCGCCAGCCTCTACAACGCTATAAAGACATATGCTCTTTTGCAGTATAACTCGTGTGGAAGGCTGCATAGAACTGCTAGGCTGCAGACTGGAAATCCACGTTGTTACTAAGTGGTAGGTGTCTTTGCCCAGGTCACGGGGATCCGGCAGGTAGTGCGCAAACGCCTATACCAGGATGCATAACGACATCTCAGGCAAGCAACTGCCACATCTGGGCTTGTTTCATATAAGGCCCAGCATTGCCAACACTATGTCTCGGCATATCAAGCTTGTACGGCAGAGCTCAGCGATACCAACATGAGTGATATCGAAGAGACAAAGGAAATGATCGTCGATATCGATGTCGACGATGGCGAGAAGTTCACGGCATCTGAGCAACGCAAGATCATCCACAAGATGAACTGGCGCTTGCTCGTGATGTTAGGCCTGATTTAGGCTATCTCGTTTCTTGACAGGGCGAACTTGTTGAATGCAGCCGTCGCGAGGTGAGTGACCTCGAACCAATTTGAGCACGGGTTGATCTCAATAGCATGACAAAGGATCTTCAACTTGGCATCGAGTCTATCACGCTTCTTGTATTCTTCGGTTCATACATCATCTTGCAGTTTCCGGCAGCAGCCTTTGTACGAAAATGCGGATCCCGCCTCTTCCTCTCTTCCATCGTCACAGCATGGGGAATCATCATGATGTGTTTCAGCCTTGCGAAAGACTGGAAGACCTTGGTCGCTCTAAGGATACTGCTTGGAGCGCTCGTGACTGGGTGCTTCTCTGCTTAGTACTACCTCACTCAGTCGTGGTACTGTTGCTTTGATCTGGCGAAGCGCAACTCGATATTCATGTCATTGGCGTATTCGGATCTGTCATTGGGGATTTCCTTGCCTTAATCTTCTCGCAGATGGAAGGTTTTGCAAACCATGGAGGCTGAAGGTGAATATTCATCATGGACGGTGAGTTTATCCAGCCAAGCACAGATGATATGAAGTTCACTAGTAAAGGTATGATTACCTGCTTTGTCGGCGGTCTTGGCTTTATCTTCATGGTCGATTTCCCAGACAGGGCCCATCAAACATGGGAGTTTCTGACAGAGAAAGAGAGCGCATTCATTCTACGATGTATCCATTGCGATCGATAAGATGGTGAACCTGAGAAATTCAGGTGGAGGAAGTTTTTCAGACCAGCACTCGACTTCAATATCTGGGTTTTTGTGTCAATGGACGTCATGCTTACCTTGGAGTTCTTGGCTTGAGTCTAATGTACTAGACGAGAGCTCCAGGCATTCAGTACCTTGGAGCGACCATGGCCACGTCTTCGGTGAGGGCGAATATGCCGGGCGTGATAATGTACCAAGCAACGAACATCAGTGGTACATGGAAGCGTTCATTTTTGTGGCGGCGTGGGCCGCTGTGGTATACTGATAGCTACGGTAAACAATAACGTAGGACTATCGGGTCGATGGAAGACTGCGCTAAATTACCATCTAGCTGGGAGATGACGGCTATATACCTGACCTCAGGCCAGTGACCGGTCACACCCTAGACTAGGGTAGTCTGTCAGGGGCACAGCCAGACCTTGTATGGACCAACCGATACCGCAACAACTTTGCAGCACGACGCTGATAAGCTTTGCTGGTGCTGGAGGTATCGCTGGATCCCCGGTCTTTCGATCACAGGATGCTCGCAAATATGCCCAGCATCTATGCCTGCCTATGTATAAGTTGACTATTAAAAGTGTAAGCCTAGGATCACATCACATAACTGCTATGCAGGCATGAATAATGCGTCCGACTACTTTCAAGCTCAGATCACACACTTGTACATACAGAGAATGTTGCGGTGTCAGTCGATCCTTACGAAATCCGATTACCCTTGCTTAGACTGTTATGGACTAGCACGTTACAGGGACAGTATATATCGTCATCTCTTAGCTAGATAGCAACTCAGCGCAGTATTCTATCGACCCGATAGTCCTACGTTGTTGTTTACCGTAGCTATCGGTATACCACAGCGGCCCACGCCGCCACAGAGAAGATTACACTCATACATGGAACCCAATACTAGTGCCACCCCATGCTTACAAAAAGCTTTCCAGCTCATTTGAAACACTCTTCTGACTCTGCCCGCCTCCACCCGCTGTATCGGCTTCAACTTTGCTACAGCAACCAGCTTCTTATGACCACCCGTGTGAGATCAGCAAAGTGTTTCGCTGTCATCCTATTACGGCTCTAACGCCGTTCACATTTCCGGATAGCAGGAATCATCGTACGTTTCTTCTTCCAACATCCCCAAAACTGGCACCGCACTCCATCGCAAACCCAAAGCACCTCGCATACCATCCCTGCGCCCAATAGCTCAGCTCAACGCAATGCGGCGCACCCCTTATCAAACTCCCTTCCGCACGAACACTACCGCTGAAAGCACGCACACACCTCTCAACCTCTCCCTCTGTAGCCACGAAAAACGGATCACCCTCAACCAACGCATACATAACCGGAACTCTAACAGCAGGCGCCCACCTCTCCTTCCACACCGGCAACCACTTGGTCGCAAACTCTTCGATCTCAGGCACAGGCACCACAGCATTCAAGCGCGCGCTTTGCGTAAGCATTTCTGGTGCATATGTCCCGGGCTTGAACATCACGGCGTCTTTCAGCTCCAAGGGGCACAACGCGTGGCCGTCGTCCAACTTAGGGTAAGAAGGCGTGGCGGCCTTTGCAGATGCGGATTGCACGTCGCCCATCCCACTTGCGATCAGGCCGCCCAGGGGATAGCGAGCAGTCTTGTCCTGTGCGTGCAGGGCTGCGGTCGCGACGCCGGGCATTACGCCGAGGCTGTGGCAGAGAAGAACGATGCAGGTGCATTCATTCGGTACTCCAAATGTGTCCCAAAGCTTTGGCAGGATGTGTTGATGCAGAGAAGTCGCACTTTCTGTGGTAAAGTCTGAGCCAACGGATATTGGAAGGATCGAGCTCGTGCCGCCGTAGGACGGGCGATCAATTGCTACGAATGGGATGCCGAATGCGGCACTGGCCGGTGATGCGGAGTAGTCTGGGAGGGAGTCGAAGTATTGATGATCGTAGCAGCCGCCATGAAGTCCGATTATCAGAGGGCGGTATTTGACTGACAAAGACGATGACGATGGGATGGAGTGGGCGCCAGCGACGGTGCCATTGTTGGATGTGGTCAGTTTGAAAGGCTGCATGGTCAAAGAAGGTGCAGTTACGAAAGGGTGTTATGGAGAAAGTCGACTCTGTAGCTTCGAAGGTCAATCGGATGGAATCGAACTTTGACCCACAATGAGGCGCTGTTATCGGACATACCTACAACGAGTCTGTGACAATACATTTTTAAAGAGTTCGTTACCTACATCATGATGTTTTTCTAAACCCACAACCCCACTTGATAGTCTGTAGGTCAATGGACTCGATGGATGTAGCGGTTTTAACGGCGTTAAAGCACTCGGATGACAGTCCTCATTTCTGTAGTATTTGGTCGGGTTTCCCAGAGTGGTCACGATGAGTCGTGTTATCAGAGTTAATTGGCCCCCCATATCAACGAATTGGTAAGGCGTGATCACTATATATTCAGATACAATGATTGCTTGAAACACTTTTAACTCCACCACCTCATCATCATCCCCAGCCTCCAACTTCCACCCACCTTCCACCCTCTCCATCTCACTTGAAGTCAATCTCTGTCTTCTTCACTGTCTTCATCTTACGCCCACTTGACTGTCCCGATACATCCCCGGGTTTGCGCTCCTCACTTTTACTCGTATACTCCTCGCTTATGATACTGCTCAGTTCGCTCGTCGCAGGACTGAATTCCAGCGGATTTACCACATTGCCCTTCCCTGCCCTCTCCTTCTGGACTTCAATGTCATTATCCGTAGTGCCCTGCATACATGTCAGCACTTCCCAATCTCGAGACAGCGTTGCGAGCGTAGCGAGAGCCCACGTTTGACATCCTCCTACAACCACTAATTTTGACCCCAGGACTGCAGCCTACCAGCTCATCGATGACTCCAGCTATCTAAAGGCAACCTCAATGGGAAAGGAAGAAGTGGACTTACGTCGAATGAAGCACCACTCTGCTGCGCGACCATGTCGTCGCCGCCGCTCTGGCTGTACTCATCGCTGCGTCCTACTTTGTCTGCAGGGTCTTGTGGCTTCTCGCCTGTTTTGATGAAGTGGTCGGCCGGAACGTTGGTTTTGGTCGGGCTTCCTGACGAGTACCGACTTTGAATGGTGCATGCCACATTGACTCGTTTGGGGCAGAATTTTGGGGAACGGAGAATGGTGAGTCGTTGCATTGTTGTGGTATTTTTTTTGGTGACGGAGTATTTGATGGTAATTGAGGAGGCTGAAAGAGCAGATCGAGTTGTCAATGGCTTCGATTGGTCTAGTTCCTGCACATGAATCCGTCGACGTTGGAGGGCATCATGGACCCGTTACGATACGATGACGGATGCACTAACCACATTCGAACATGAAGGGTCCTTTGTGAAAGCTCGGGCAGCGATAGGCTGGCCTTGACATCCGATTCGTAGAAACTCTACCATGCGCTTAATATCCCCAGTTTTGTGATTTACGCATTCTCCGCGCATCGACAAGAAGTGATAACGCAAGGCTGTCAAGAATTTGTGGGATCATGGAGGCATCTGGGTCAGGGCTGGTACGGAATGCTATCCACATTCAGACTAGCGTATTTCTCAAAATGAGAACCCGGGGTCTTCTAGAACAACTCAGATCCGGTTTCCACGGCTTCCATGCCTTATTTTTACAACCTGCTGCTGTTTTACGGTTATGCCACAATGTTGTTGATGAAACCAGCCACCCATAACGTGTGAGTAACCGGACACAGCGGTTGTGTACCAAAGGTGACGATCCTTATCATTAAACGGCCGACTAGCACTACTGAAACCGTCTTACTCCCTACCTATAATGTTGTCTCGTAACATCTCGTGAGCACCAAACTACATCGCATACGCCTTGCAACAGTATAAATCTAAGAGTGAGTCACTCGCCTTGTCTTCATCCTCTCATCAGTAGTCACTCATTCCTCAAATCCTCGTCTTTCATAGTCTCAGACTCACATAGGACGTTAGACTAATCAATCAAACGTTCCTCAAAGTGTCCTACCGATAGCTACACTTTGTCTTCAGCATTTTTCACCCAAATCTTCCCAATGAAGTCCTTCTCCTTCGTCGGCGCAACTCTCCTCGCTGCCTCCGTCTCAGCGGAAACAACCACCTATTCTTCTTGCGCATTGCACACCCACTGACCCTTTCCAGCCAATACCAGGCCGCACCCGTCCCTACGTCCATTCCCAGCGGCTGCAACCCAGCACACCCAGGCAGCCGTCCTACGCCCAGCGCCTCTTCAGACCCGTGCCAGGACAAGTTCAAGTCCTGCGTGGCAGCAGGCACGCCTGAGGTAACTTGTGCATGCGGCCTGCAGGCCTATCTTGGCGAGGACAACGCTCGTGGCCGCGCGTACTGCGCTTCTGCCACTTCTATACCGGTCGCTGCGAGCATTCCTGAGGGCTGCAACCCTGCCCATCCTGGTCGCTGCCCTACACCCAGCTTCTCGTCTGCTGGCTATCCAGCTGGAACTCCTGTCGCTTCGTCTATCCCTGAGGTTGTAACCCTGCGCACCCGGGCAGCTGCCCGACGCCCAGCTCTGGTAGCTTGACGCCGAGCTATGTCCCTGGAAACGGCTCGACGGGAAAGAACTAACGCGAGTGGGACTAGCACGAGAAAGCTGCCTGAGTTTACGGGTGCGGCGGGGCCAGAATGCTGTGTCATTTGCGATGGTTGTGCTTGGTGCTGTTGCTATGTATGCTTTATAAGTCGTTTTAGCGTAGTCTGGAGAGATCAAATACAGATAGGAGTGATGGCCAAAATATGGAAGTGTTTTTAGCGGACGCAGTTGATGTAGTAGGGAATGCTGTACAATAGTGGTCGATCATTTGTGGGAATAGACTGGAGATATAACTTTGTACTTCTTACACCATGTGCAGTACCTTTCTTTGTCGAAGAGCGTGATACTAACTCGCAGACGCATGCGGTATTCCTGTGCTCGTCAGGCTTGCATGCTTGCGCCGAGAAGCAGATTGCACCTGTGCCCACTGCTAGAGCGACCCAGGTTGGTGAGAACGCCTACTTCTTTGTGGCGGTGGTTTGCGGTATCTGTACCCTGTCCTAAGGAACCGCTTGAACAGGGAAACGACGGGATCAGACAGGGTCTGGTCGTCGAGGCAGCGGATTATAAACCGCAATATCCCCTGTGGGTGACAAGATGAGTCCCTGTGGTGTATCGCTACGCTTGCCATGCACACCACCGTCAGCAACATCAAGACGGAGAGTGCGGAGGTGAGATGATGTGAGCAAGTTTGTAATCTTGTCTGCCTCTCACCGCCTGCGACTCCGGTCGCCAGAAGCTTGCTGCGCCGCCTGCTGCGCTGCTTCGTGCCCGAGCTCCTCTCTTAGCGCCTTGAGCGTGTTCTCCGTCTTCTCGCGGCGCGCAGTCTCTTTCTCGAGTTCGCGGTCGACTTGGGCGATCTTAGCCATCAGCGAGTCGATCAGACCTTGCTCGTGCTCCTGGCTGAACGGCACGTCATCCCCTCCCTTCTCTGGAAGCTGGGCGCTGCGCTCTCCGTTCGGCAGTCCACGTTTCAAGCGCCCATTTGCGCCGAGACTGGCTTTCTTGCTCCCTGACGAGGACTTGCTCGGGACGAGGTGCGCCCACTGGTCCTCGGCAGTCAAGGCATCGAACAGGGCCTCGGTCGGCTCGTTGAAGTGCACGACTTCAAGGAACTCGCTCCGCACGCAGCCCGTTCGCTCTTGCTGCGCCTGCTGCTCCTCACTCCCGTACTTCTCCAGCTGCAAAAAGTGCTGTCTGTACTGCGCCTTCTCGCCGGATATGGGCTGAAAGTGCAGCCGAATGTCGATGCTGAAGCCTCCCCACCCTGTTTCTGTAACCTCGAAGGGCGGGTTGTCGCATGTCCGCAGGGGATTCTCGTACGTGTTGAAGATCTTGAATTGAACCTTGTTGAGCCAGGTTGACAGGGACGGGTCGCCCTCCGGCTGGCGCACGTAGACGGTCCAGCGCTTGGTGTGGTCGTCGGGGATGCCTTTTGGGCGGTCGGGGTGGCCCAGCGGTGGAAGAGCCCAGGCCTCAGAGCCGATTACTGTGGGTGTGAGTGGGTGTGGTGGGGGTGAAGCGAGGTGCGAGGGGGAGATGTACTTATGTTGCGCGAGATGCGCTTGTTCTATCGAGTGTTAGTGTGCGCATGCGCAGTGCGGATCATAGAACGCCGTACCTTGACGCGCTTGTTTGCTGCCGGCGCGGGCATTGTGGCGTTGTGAGAGAGTGCAGACCCCGTCGCACGATATGTGGGTGGAGCTGGGAACTGTCTGCGCCGCTACAGAGAGTGTGAGGAGACTAGCGTAGGGTGCAGGATACGCGGAAGGGTAAGTGGAAGGGGAAGTGGAAAGGCGAGTGGAAGGGCGAGTGCAGCGGCACCGTTGCGATCCAAAGTTAGGCTCGGTGGTGTCGACTAGCGGCCGCGAACCCCTGTCGGGCCCCGTGGGGCTTCTGGAGTGGAGTGATATCACCACTCGAGCTCCCTCCCGAGCGCCTCTATAGTCTCAGACTCGCATAGGACGTCAACCCAATCCCTCCCGAGCTCCCTCCCGAGCTCCCTCCCGAGCTTCCTCCCTTCCTTGCTCCCCCACTGTCTTGCTTCCCTCACCGCACACAGCTGCAATGGCTTCCGCAGCGCAGAAGAAGCTTGTCGTATGCGGCGGAAATGGGTTCTTGGGTAGGTCTGACCGGTATACCTGCATCTTCTGGCAGTGCGAGCCCCAGATGCCCGCAGCGTCCAGCAAGGTGCATGCCAAGCGCTGTCATTGCGAGCGCCACACTCGACTCTTGAGTGGGCATCACCACTGACCGTCCCTACAGGAAGCCGCATCTGCCGCGCCGCTGCCCACCGCGGCTGGTCCGTCGTCTCCGTCTCGCGCTCAGGCACACCACACTGGGCCTCGGTGACCTCCTCGCCCGACGCTCCCTCATGGTCTGAGAAGGTCACGTGGGCAAAGGGCGACATGCTCGACCCCTCCTCATACAACGCGCACCTGGAGTCTGCCACGGCTGTGATCCACACAATGGGCATCCTGCTCGAAGCCGACTACAAGGGCGTCGTGAGCGGCCGCGAGTCACCTCTCTCCGGACTGCGAAGAGCCTTCTCAGCGACCAAGGCAGGCACACAGAACCCGCTCCAGCGCAAGGACGGCGAGACACTGCGGCCCATGGAGAGCGACGGGCAGCTCACCTACGAAGTCATGAACCGCGACACTGCTGTCAGCCTCGCCCAAGAGGCTTCCAAACAGCAAGTGCCAACCTTCCTGTACATCTCCGCCGCCGCCGGCACGCCCATCCTGCCCAGGCGCTACATCACCACAAAACGCGAGGCCGAATCGATAATAAGCACGACGTTCCCCGCTATGCGATCCATCTTTGTCCGCGCACCCTTCATGTACGACTCCAGCCGGACATTTACACTCCCCATCGCTGCTGGCGGTGCGGTCGCGAGTATGGTGAACAGCGCTGTAGGCGGCCGGTTGACGTGGTTGATGGGTGCTGGAGGCATCAAGCCGCTCAAGGCCGATCTAGTAGGCGAGGCAGTTGTCGAGGCGCTAGAGGACGAGCAAGTGCATGGGCCGGTTGAAGTACCTGAGATCGAGCGGTTGGGGACACGGGCGTGGAGGAAGAACATGCTGTGAGCACAAAGTCACCCGTCATGACGCAACAGGGCGCAGCGGTGCCCAAATAGAGCGCACCGAATACCAGCGTGGTGTGTTGCCCCGATGTCAGTCGAAATCAAAACGACCATGTTTTGACTATGTTGTAGAATAAGAAGCCAAGATCTCAACACGCGAACAGTCCAAGGACAACACATGATGCGGCGTTCAACGAGCTACGAGATGAGCCTCGTGACACCTGCTGAGCACCTTGACTGTGGTCTCAGATCGTCCTTAGCACCTGCTGAGCACACTTGACGACCTCCATGGTGACTGTGTTGTCACCTACATGGAGGCGACTGCGCCGAAGGGCACGCGTGGAGCTATTCAACTGCCTGGCTCTGGCGATGATTGCGATGTAGTCTGGAGTATGGATGGGGAACCACTTGTTGGCAAGAGCCGGACATTCATGGTCAATGGGGGAGCGAAAGTGGTTCTCACCTCAACCGCATCTGCATAGGCTGCTTTGAGACGAGGTTTCCTGCCTTTCGGTGGCGACGAGGTAACTCTCCTCAGTTCATTCAGCTTATGTGTAGCTTATGTGTACTGTGGTCAGCAACCGGATCCCGGGTGAAGAGGTCCCGGTCGTGGAGCTAGGCCTGATTGGGCCGGGCCCGCTTGGTAAGCGTGAACGACACAAACTCCAGTTCCTTTGACTGAACAGCTACTACACTTGAGCCTTGCGAACAGTGTTGCGTGAACACTTGGGTGATGGCGCTGTCAGCTCCGGCTCCTTTCCGCTCATGGGATGTAGCGCTGCGGAAATGCTCTCCATCATTGCTCAGCAGCATTGGAGTGCTGATAGTACTGGTCTCGCAGGCTACTGTCTGATTGACTGATACATAATGAGACGTTGCCTTCCTCTGTCATGCGGGATTCGACTATATATCAACCACAGCTCTTCCTCTACACAAACCTCCTGCATCAGATACAGACATGCTTCCAAGGCTCCTAAGGCTTAAGCAACACCTTCACAGCCGCACTCCAAAAACTACCAGCATGGCGTCCACAGTCTTTCAAGGCCTACCCGTCATTCCTGATGAGCCCTACACCACCACCTCGCCACGCAAGATTGCTCAAGTCATCCACGCCGCTGAAGTTGAAGAAGGAGCCGGTATGCGCGTGCGCCGCTCCATCGGAACCCCGCGCCTGCGAAACTTCACTCCATTTCTCATACTTGATCACTTCGACAGCAGTTTCGGCGGGGCCGCAGAGGCTGGGGCACCGGACCATCCGCATCGCGTTTGTACCCCATCTCGACACAACCGTGCTTACTGACACCAACAAGGGCCAAGAGACGATAACATACATCCTGCAAGGCGGCGTCGACCACGAAGACTTCGCCGGCAACCGCGGCACCCTCGACGCCGGAGACTTGCAATTCATGACCGCGGGCCGCGGCATCATGCACTCCGAGATGCCTCGCGCCGACCAGTACGGCAAGCCCAACATCGGGTTACAGTTGTGGGTCGATCTGCCTAAAGAGCTCAAGTACTGTGAGCCGCGGTATCGCGACCTCAGGGCCGAGGAGGTGCCGGTTGCTACTGCTGATGAGGGGAACGTGCAGGTCAAAGTGATCAGTGGACAGGCGTTCGGCGTGCAGAGCGCGAGGGAGTTGAGTTACACGCCGGTGTGGTATCTGCATTTCACCATTCAGCCGGGCGGAAGGACCCAACTCCCTCTACCACAGGGATGGAACGCCTTCTCCTACATCCTAAACGGCGAGGTTGTAGTAACCGACGGCGAACAACTGCGGTCTTTTCAACGGTTCAGCAACGTGGTTTTCCAGAAGGACGGTGACAGTGTTGACATTGCGGTGGCCCAGGATGCCAAGCAGACTGCGGAATTCATCGTTGTTGCGGGCTTACCGCTGGATCAGCCTGTGGTGCAGTATGGGCCGTTTGTTGCGTTGAGTAGCGAGGAGGTTATGCAGGCGGTTCTTGATTTTCAGACAGGGCAGAATGGGTTCGAGAGGGCTGTAAATTGGGTTAGTGAGAACTCGCGGTCGAGACGGAATTCTGTGGGTTAAAGATGGAAAGTTGATAGTCTGGATGGGTCATTAGGGGCTAGGTTAGCAAGAAGAGATGTTGTTCGCGTAATTCTCCTTGAATTGAGACACTGCAGTCTCAGTGCCTCGGCAACCACGTTCAGCATTGTCAATGTCAGTCGATGTGACCAGCCAAATCTTGGAGTTGACATCGTGAGCTGACTGTTATTACTACATATTTGAATTCATGCTGGGTTGCGTAGGTCTTGTTTTAGTGTTACCAACAAAACTAGGGTATGTGGGGCTTTCACAAAGCTTGTGGCCTCGTAGTGATATACAATGTCTGACACAATGGGATTTGATTGGAGAAGTCTTACTCCCAAAACAAATCCACATGATTGTTCGGTTTCCACAGTGAGAGTATATATAGTGGTCGTTTGTGATCTTTGCTAATGCAGACTGAAGGGGCAGCTCTATTTGTGCCGCAACAAGGAAGTGAAGGCAAAGAGGTAGCCGCAAGGCCAATCGAATTTGAATCTTGCAGCGCTCCATCTCCCCGCCCGCTCGGTTTTGTTCGATGAAACTGCGGCAAGAGTGGTTCAGTTGCATTAACGCATGTAAAAGAACTACTGCCTCTGTAGAGGGCATCAAACTTGACTTCTGATCAGATTGAAAATGTGCAGTGCGCAGCACTATTCATGAACCGCATCGTCAGCGGGAAGAATCACTTGATATGCGTAGTGGTTATGTTTCTTATACTATATATGACATTGTTGGCCGACCTTCTCATGTCCTCCGAGAATGGTCCAGACTCGGCTTATTCCCGATGTCTCAGATACATGAGCTCACAAACCATCATCGATCCACTTGCTGGCCTCTTCCACACCGGCAGCAATCAGTTTCTGCTTAGTCTTTTCTATAGAAGAGCCACAGATATGGGGGTACAATTTCCACGCTCGTGGGATGCTGGAGATATCATCGTGAGCAAAAGTGCCTGCCAACTTCTTGCCAAATTCAGCGAAACGCTCAACCCTCCGCTGGTCTAGTTTCTTCCTGATATCCATTATTGCCCAATAGGAGTCAATCACCTTCCACTTTGCATCAGGTATGATGTTCACAAGACCCGAGATGGCTTGAATGTGTGTCTTCAATGCCATAGGTCCAAAAGTGGGATCGTAGCAATACGTGTCCATCGAGAGGAACACGGACTTCAGGTTCTGAGGTTGCGCGTTGCGGATGAAGAATCGAATTGCCTCTTCCATGGCCTCATGCTGTGTCGGCCTCCGCAAAGAGGTGTCGGTGTTAAGGCCCAAAGTCAAGGTGATACCGAACTGGAAAGTATTGACTGTCCAGACGATGCTCGAAAGCTCAGCTTGGAGCTGTTTGGATGTGCGCGAGAGTGCAGTAAGCCTGCTTAGTCCTGGGAAGGTACCCTTTTTCTCCGTCGGTTTATAAGTCAACCAGCGAAACTCCAAAGGCATATCATACTTAAGGACGTAACGGGCTATCACGGACCTGATCTCCGTTGGCAGATCCAGGAAACGGAATGGCCGGCGTGGATTCTGACTAAGAAAGCGGGCAACCATAGCTCTGAACTGAGGGTTCTCAAGATAACTGACACCTGTTAGCGAGTCGTTGATGTTGTAAATTGTCCAAATTCACCACTGAGTCATTTCAAGCATCATGTAGCGGTCAACATCGGGAACCCGTTTGTAAGTACTCAATATCGTGTCTGATCCGGGTGGAAAAGCAGCAGGAGGTGTCGAGAAACCGTTCGTGGGGGGCTGTGTGGCGGGTCGACCATCCTGCTCAACCTCGCTTGTGTTCTTGCGCTTCATTCGATGTGTTTCCGGTCCTAGCAGTTCTTCGGGAGTCATGTCTACTTCGCTCGCCGATGCGGCCATGGTTGATCTTGCCGCGTCAAGAATATGCTGACAAATGGGTATCGCCGCCTTCCGCGAGGTTGTGAAAAGACCACAAGGTTGAGGAGGAGGAAGGTGAATGTATCGGCGAGGAAAATTCTAGGTTTGATGACAAACGAGTGCCGCTAGCGCTTGCCTGAAAAGTTGCAGTGAAAGAGCTCCACGACCCCTCACTTACTGACAGCTCACAAGAGGTGAAATCAGGACGTACTCCAGCCCTTTATAACAACGTTGTTTTTTTAGCATGGAAGTATAGTGTGAAGCAGAGCAAGAATGAGAGGAACTGTTCTGGTAGCGACACTCACCGAAAAGAAGCCTGATTTTCGCAACAAGAGCGTGTCCATCGTCGTAAGGCAACCGCCAGGTCCTACTCATGTGAGCACTTCTGACCTTCAATCGAGATGAGGTGATTAAATTTAACGGAGGATTGGTCAGTGAAGGTGAGAGAAGGCGTACCTCGCCGCTAGCGGCATAGCAAATGGAAGTCACGACCGCAAGCACCGCTGCTTCACAAAAAGAACAAGATGGATGTGGCGCTGATTCACCCAGGTACGGGAGAATGGAGATGGAAGAGCACCAAATATCTTGCTGCCTACCCTCTTCCGCTCGCCGTTATCAATTCGCGCGGCCTGCTGGTTTGATCATCAATGCGTCTACTTCTATTTGTGCACCTGCTTCCTCTCGATTGCTGCTAGCGTGTATCTGCTCCTATCTTCCTTCACTGCAACTGCCCTTCTGACACACGCTTAAAAACATGTCTGGAACAGCGAAGGAGAAGTCATGCTTTCTAGCCATAATCCAACGCCTATGCAGAGCAGATTCGAAGTGAAGTCTTCGCACGCTGTGCTCATTCCGTTCAACTACGTCTCACGAACAATAACCAAGATCCAGAAGCCAGATGTACAGAAATCGAAAAGCAAGAATGTGATACACCCACCCATGCAGGCAGTCTCAATTGACACCACACATTCCTTGCCTTAATATGAGAGCGTCTTGAATCAGTGAACCAGTAGTGTGCCTGTCGATCGGTATGGCTTTACGTTAAGGCTAGCAACTACACTACTCCAATGCTCCGCTAAGAAGGCCCACAAGTATCACGAGGATGTCAGCAGAAAAAACGTAGAGAGGTACAGACCATCTCAGGATGCCAACTTCCTAGAGCAAAAGTGTGCCAGGAAAAAGACACAACACGCCCCAATAAGAACAAAGTGCAATCGAAAGGTAATATTGAGAAAGAAAAAAACAACGCAACCGTGATATATCGCTACAACACCATGCAAAACAGCCCAAAGACAAGTGATTTCCCAACACCATTGACCCGGTCCAATCGTTGCTCATATGAACGCCCTTGACCGGATAACAACCCTAATGGTCCTCTTGCGCTTGACCCCACACCCTTCCTGAGGCCCAGTATCAGACTCAACATCGCTCTCAGGCTCGGAGTCCGAGACTTCAATCGCGACCTCCTTTTCCTTGTAGAGCTCGCCATCAACCTCAACCAGAGTCTCATCTTCCCCTTCCTCCAGATAGTCTTCGTCAGCGCCTTCGTCGAGGAAGGCCTGTTCCAGCAAAGAGTCCTTTTCGAGCACAGAATCGACCTCCTCGATGTCTTCCAGCAGACCAACTCCAGTATCATAACTATGTTTCCTCCTCATGCCCGCACCAGCAATGACCAACGCCCTGGACATCGACGTCGGCTTCGTCTTCTCGATAGTGACAGTACTCGTACTCTTCTCCTTCTCCTCTTCTTTATGTTGTGTAAATATAGTGACAGGACCGCCCACATCCTCTACTTCTTCTCTGCGGAAATATGGGCTAGAAATAGGTATGACCTGGGACCTCGTCAACGACCCCTCCCCTTCAGAGATCCCATCAACTACAAAAAACCCTTCTGGCCGGAAACACGTCGTAGTCCAGAACGGAAGCTGCCGTACTTCTTCTCGCTGGGCGCAGCTTCGCCCATCTCGCCCATGAGGAGACCAATGGAGGAACCGCGTCGCGATCGTGCATCGCCAGCGTCACTGGCCGCGATGCCTGGGATACCGAGTTGGCTCCTGCGCTCGACGCGCATGTTCCTGTAGTTTTCGAGTTCGCGCTCGAGTTTGACGCTCTTCTCGCGCTCCTCACGGAGTTCGCGCTCGGCGCGCTTAGCGGCAAGCTGGTTCCCTGAGTCGGACGACTGCAGCTCATCGATGGTGGAAAGCAGCTTAGCGATCTTGTCGCGGGCTTTGTTGAGGTCTTCGGTAACGGAGGCGTTCTGCTTCTCGCGACGCTCGATCTGAGACTGCAGATCCTTGACTGTTCGGTCAACGTTGCGAACGGCGCGAGAGTCGGAAAGACGTGTCGATTCAGAGTCCTCAAGGGCTTTCTCGAGCTGTGTCGCATAGTCAGCTAGATGTATGATGAGAAGGCTACACAATTACGTACCTCTTGAATACGTCCGTGGAGAAAGCGGACGTCCTTGCCAGCCGAGCCGCTGTAGCCCTTGGTTTCGAGATCCACCAAACGAAGCTGAAGATCCTTGAGATTTTTGCCGACAAGACCCTTCTCCTTGTGCAACTGGACGTTCGCCTCGCGTTCGGCGATTATGTCCTTTTGCAGCTCCTGTGCCAAAGCCTCAGCACGCCGCATCTTACCAACGGCGGCAGCTGCGATGTCTTCCTGCTGGGCAAGACCAGACTTGAGTTCGAGCAACTCACGATCGTAGGCAGCGGCGTTACGCATAGCCGGTGACTCAGACCGCGACAGGTCATCCAGTCGAGCCGCTGCCTCCTGCAGTCGGGTCTCAAGGCGCTTCTTCTCCTCAATGGCGGAGTCGCGTTCAGCGGCAAGGTCGTCGACGTTAGTGCGGAGGTTACGGACCTGAGACAGGAGGTTCACGATCTTAGATTGAGCCTCGTTGTGAGCATTGGCTGCCTCATCGCGAGAGTTGGACACCACCTGGAGGGTCATCTCCAGGCGATTCTTCTCCTTCGCCCATGTGGACGAGTTGAGCACCTCGTCATCCCACTTGCTCCTCATCTCCTCGATCTCTTCGCGCAGGCGTCCATTCTCCTCGCGAATGTAGATGATTGTCTCGCGCTCTTGTTCGAGCTCGTTTGTCAATGTCGAAAGCTCGGTCTGGTACTTCTTGCGCGTTTGCTCTAGCGAGCTCTCGCCATCTTCGATGTCGTGCGCATGCTGGCTTCTGTAATCCTCGAGCTCGTTTTGCAGCCGCTTCTTGGCTTGCAGCGCGGCCTGCAGATCGGTTGAGAGGTCCTCGACACGTTCTTCATACTGTTGGACTTGTCTTTGGAAGTCCTCAACCATACCGTCCATCTCCTTGCGCTCCGCCATGTAAGTAGCGCAGGTCTCCTCGGCCTCGCGTGCTTGTGTCCTGGCGAATTGCTCAGCGCGAGAAGCCTTGAGCACGGCGATCTCAGCTTGTTCAAGTTTGTTGAAGTACTCATCAGCACGGTTCTTATATAAGCTCAAGCTGGATTGAACGTCAAGCAAGGTAGATGTCTCGTCGTCCAGTCGGATTTGCAGATCAGCAAATTCTTGCAAGAGCTGGTTGTGGTTGGCTTGTTCTTGCTCGCGCTCAGAAGCGAACGCGTCCAACTCAGTCGAGACTTCGCGAAGCTCGGCTTCCAAAGCCGCTTTCATTTGCTTGACGTCATCAAAGGCAGTCTTTGCGTCTGCCAGCTCGTTGATGGCATTGTTGTGTGCTTGTACGATAGATTTGCGCGACTGTTCCTGTGACTTCAAGATCTCGAAGAGCTCTTCGTGTGACTTTGTTTGCACTTCTTGATAGGACAGCTGTCCTGAGCGTAGGCTGTGCTCGAGTGAGGAGACCTTCTTCGCGGAGTCGTCGAGCATGTCATGGAGACGGAAGTTCTCGCGCTCCAGTTTCTGCACTCGCCTCATCGATGGGCTTTCCTCTTGCCAACTGTTATTGCGTACAGGAGATTGATCGAGTTGGCTCTGCAGGTGCGCGTTTCGCATTTCCGATATCTGCAGCTGGTTTTGTGCAAGTTCGAGCTCGGCAGCCATGTCCATGCGGTTGTTGAAAGAGATGGTGTCGACTGTGCGGTCAGAGCGGGCGGAATCGTTTGTTGCGTTACTGATGTGACGTTGGTTAGTCGGTGTGCTTGTCGAGAATAGCTTACGGTTCTCGCTGTCTAACCTCTTGTGTGTCGGCGATCGGTTTGCGTTCGCTTGATTCACCTGGCTGCTGTTCATCTCCTCTAGCAAAGCCCGCTTCGAGTTGGCATGGCGTGTATCCAATTCATTGATCTCACCCTCGTGCCTCTCTCGGAGGTCGTCCAGCTGAGCTTCTGCGCGGTTGTATCGCTCCACAGCCACGCGTAAAGCCTGGTTGGCAGCCTCGAGACGCTCCGCGACATCTACAGCCCTGGAGATCTGTGGCTTGGCAGCATCGTAGGTGACGGCGACGTCTGCAGACTCTGGGTCAAAGACCTTGCGGAGGAGCATGAGCTGGTTGTGGCACTCTTCGAGCTCGCGGTTGTTGTTATCCAATGTCGCTTGGACAGCGCGGGTGTTTGCTTGAGCCTGGGTGCGTAACTGTCTTTCAGTTTCAAGCTTGCGGTTGACTTCTGCAAGCTGGAGGTTGACAGTAGAAGACGCCTTCTCAGCGGTGCGGTTGCTCTTCGCCTCGCGGTTGATCTCGTGGTTCAAGTCTTCGAGAGTAAGCTCTAGCTTCTCTTTCTGCTTCTCCATCGATGCAATGGTGACTTGAGCGTCCTCGAGCTGACGGTACAGGCGCTTGTTGTCTTCGTCGACCTTGGATTTTTCGTTTGTCAATTGGATGATCTTGGAGCGCTGGGTCTCGCCGGCACGTGAGTTACTTCGAGCAATGTCGAGGTTCTTTTGTTGGACTTTGTTGAGCAGTGCGCGGTTGTCATTCTCGGAAGCTGTAAGTCGCCCCTTGACGGTGACCAGCTCACGCTCAAGACGTTCCTTCTGTTGGTCGTTTCGTTCCCTGAAGCCTTCTGCATCAGCAAGCATCTGAGTCAGGTTGTGCACTTGCTCAGCAAGGTCATCACGCTCGGCTTCAAGTTGGTCAAGTTGCTGATCCTTGAGCTCGAGTTCCTCTTCCTGTGCAGCGTGCTTCTCCAGTGCCAGACGTGACTGAGTACGTTCGGCTTCGGCATCAGCATCCATCTTTTCTTCCTGCAACTTGAGGTACTGCTCTCGCAGATTTCGGAGCTCGCCCTGGTACTCCTTGCGTTCTTGCTCATGCGCAGTACGAGTTTCGGTTGCGCGGCGCAGAACATCTTGCTGAGCATACATCTCCTTCTCGATGGTGATCTTGGACTCATTCAGAGCATTGTAGTCGCGCTTGAGTGTGTCGTATTTGTGCTCACCGAGCATTTCCACGTCGTCACGAGATTGCCTCTCGCGACTGAGCTCCTTCTGAACCTCGAACATCTCAGACTTGAGGAGCTCAATTTGTTCCTGAAGTAGCTTTGACTGCGCATCCTCAGTTTCCCGGTCCTCGAGAAGGCGTTTGGCATCTGCAGCTTCACGATCTGATTGCTGCTTTTGGGCGCGCATGGCTTCGAGTTCGGCATTGGCCTCGCGCAGGCGGCTTTGGAGACCATCGTGTTTCGAGGCAAGGGTCTGCTTTTCTGCATCGAAGATCTGCCGATCAGACTCGTACTTCTTCAAATCCGCCTTCAGGATGGCCAGTTCGCTCTCTTTGCGGCGGATGAGATCCTCGTAGCTGGTCGAAGTTGAGGAAAGATCAGAAATCTGCTGACGCACTTGTCGGTTCTCTTCGAGCAGCTCCTTGATCTGTTTCTTGCCGGCTTGCACTTCCTTGTCCGATGCCGCCAGCTTGATATCGAGATCCTGCTCCGTCTTGAGGAGCTTCGACTCCAGCTCTTGGAGTTTTCGCTCCTTCAGACTCAGGTGACTTTGCAACATCTTCACTTCCTGGCTCATGGACTCTTCGGCTTGGCTGCGTTGTGACTGAGCGGCTTCAAGTTCCTGCAGTTGCTGATCAAGGCGTGCAAGCTGGTCTTCGAGGTCTTGCTTCTCGGTTTCCAGATTCCCGATGATCTGGCCTGCTTGCTCCAACTCCTTGCGCCATACCTCAGCCTGGTCTTCTGTCTTCTTCTTGGCTTCCATCAGGGCGTCCAGTTGGTCTTCGAGCTGATCTTGATCTTCGATAGCACCCTGAAGCTTCTCAGCGAGCTCGGCCTCTCGGATCTGGAGTCGTTTGAAGATTTCTTCCTTATCCAGGGCCAGAGCGCGTTCGCTTTCGAGTGTCTTCTGGATCTTTTGGATATCCATCTCGGCTCTTCTTCGATCATCCTCCACGCGCTGTCTTTCAGCCGCCTCCTGCTGCATCCTGTCCTCGAGTTGAAGGATCATCTCGTCGCGCTTCTTTACTTCAGCAGCTTGACGAGTGGCCCCCAGCATTGGCCTCATGCGCACGAAGAGTCGCCACCATGGGTTGGACTGGAGGTCAAGGTACACTTGGAAGTTCTTCTGTACGATGCGAGTCGCCTCAGCTCGATAGAGGCGTTTGTGGGCGATTCGACGTTGAGTGAATCCACGTGCTGCTGATTGGAACTGGATCATGATATCGCGAATAAGGTTATCACGCTGATCTTCCAGTTCGGCAAGAACACCGGCTCGGAAGAAGACCTTTGTGATACCGACACGGTAGAGAGCCTTGTCCATGCCCAGCTTTTCAAGTATCATCTTCGCGACAAGCTGGCCCTCGAGGTAGCCTTTTGGAATGTCTTTGCAGAGGACCTCGTATCTTTGCCTGAACTCGACAAACGTCAATCGGTTGGGGAAACCGGTACGAGCAATTCGGATACCTTCGAGTACACCGTTGCATCGTAGCTGGTCAAGCACAAGAGGAGCACTGAACTGCTTGGGTCGCTTCTTGTGGTTCGGCAAGATACAACGAACAAAGTGAGGGTGCGTCGAGTGTAGCTGAGTCATGAGCGTTGAGAGCTGCTCCTTGTGACGCTGAGCAACAGTGCGGAAGAGACCCTTCTTTACGCGGCTACGAGTGCCGCCGACTTCATCGTCAGGGTCTGCGCAGTCTGCAAACAGATTGGCGATTTGCTTATCAGACGATGCCGCGAGAAGTCGTGTAACGTTGTCGTTCAGAGGGTCCTTGTTCTTTTCCAACCAACCCTCCGTGGAGTACTCGACCTCAGCGGCGTAATGAGTGAGCACGAAACCTTGCGTCAGCATGGAACGCTTGTACTTGTTGCTCTTGCGGTCCCACAGTGAGTGTAGCTTCTCGGTGAAGCTTACATCGGTGGCTTTAGGCATGACACTGTCTTCGTCCAAGCAGGAGAAGATGCCAATTGGGTTGGGCAGTTCGATGAGGTCAATGGTCGGTTGCAGATCGCGGCCGAAGTCGATGAACTTCCACTCGATCTGTTCCCGAGCGTACTCTTCCTGTTCCAGGACGAACATGTGGTGATTGAAGAACTGCTGGAGCTTCTCGTTCGTATAGTTGATGCAGAGCTGCTCGAAGCTGTTCTCGTCAAAAATCTCGAAACCGGCAATATCCAGAACACCGATGAAGTGCGAGTCGTCGCCTCCGGATCCTGTTTGGTCCAGCTGTCGGTTGATGCGGTCGACAAGGTCACCGAATCCACGTTCATAGATGCCCTTGGCAAGAGCGTCGATGGCGAGGTTCACCTGCTCGGGTGTCTGGACCTTCTCAACCCACTCGCGTCCAGCCTTGACTCGGGGATGCAGCAAAGCCTTCATGAAGTCGTCGGCGGAGACACCGAGCAACTGACATACCTTTCGAGCTTGCGCCTCGGCGTTGGAGTCCAACGTGGCCTGGTCCGCTCGCCGGCTCTCCTTGACCGCTTTGATGTTACCTAGGTGGAGAACAGCTGCGACAGTCCGGAGGATGCCAGCCTGCTCTTTGTCGGTGAACTTCATGACGTGGAAAGCTTCTATCAGTGTATTCCACTCGTCGCGGTCCGACACACCGGCGATCGCGTCGTTGCCATGCTTGGTGTAGTCGAAGTCCTCTGTGTCTTTCGAGTCCAGCAAGAAGTCCTGCTTCATCGCTGGGTCCGCTCCGCGCAGCAGCTGATAGAAGATGTGGTAGTTGCGCTCGTTTGCGTTCAGCCTCACAACCCTGGACTTCTCGAGCAGATACCAGTCGATGTAGGCACCAGCAATCTGGCCTGTGCGACTGAACTCGATTCGAATGAACTTTCCAAAGCGGGACGAGTTGTTGTTCCTGACCGTCTGGGCGTTACCGAACGCTTCGAGGATAGGGTTGGCTCGCAGGATCTGTTCGGAGAGATTGGTGAGGTTCTTTGCGCCAGACTTTGCTCGAGGAGTGTCTGAGTTCGCGACCGCAGCCAGGTACTGGATGACCTTCTTGGTGTTCTCAGTCTTTCCAGCTCCAGACTCACCACTAGCCGACGTCAGCTGAATCCACCACATTGCCAAGGTCAGACACTTACGTGACCAGGATACTCTGGTTTGTGCCTTCGTCCACCAAATTGCGGAAGGCCTCATCTGCCATGGCGAAGATATGTGGTTTCGTCTCTTCCCGCCCTCGCCCACGATACATGTTGATGTAGTCTCTCGAGTATATGGGAAGCGGACAGTAAGGGTTCACTGTGACCAAGAACAAGCCCGAGTATGTCTGCCAGTTGTTAGTATGTGTCTGTCGCGCTTCGTGTGTCCCACCCACGTAGATCAGATCTGCCTGGTATCGCATGTGTAGGTTGTGGATGACAGAAGGCTCGTTCAGATGTGTGAGCTCGGCCATATCGCCAGCCTTGTCGAACTTGGCTGGGTTGACTTTGTCGACAGCATCCTCTTCGACTTCCTGCTGTGAGCCATCGTCACATTGTACCAGCAGGTTCCCGCCCGACCGCTCTTCCACCACCCATCCTCGGACGAATGCGGTCTTGGCGTCGCGCAGCCAGACATAGCGCTTGCCCGAGAAGTCGTTCTCTCCCTCTACGATGCCCCCTGGTTTTGCCATGTCTGGCGCGTCTTCTGAGATGAACTGCGGTGCGAATGTGCCGATGGGTACGCTATTCCGGTTTGAGTTTGAGCGCAGCCGCGAGTCGCTGCGGCCGAGCGGGGGACTGCTCAGATGTGTAAGAGACTGGTGCCGTGCGTGCGCCATCTTGGGCTCTGTGTGTGGCAGTTCGGCGACGGAGAGCGGCCGCGGTGGTGGGCCGGGCGACGGTGTTGCTGAGCTTCCTCTCGCGAACGGACTGTTTCGCACTCGTGACGGACCATTGGGAGCAGGCGCGCTCATGGTCGTGCCGTGGGTAGGAATGGCGGCAGGTGCAACAGGTCTACTTTTCCGCGTCGATGCCGCCCATTATGCGGCGAGCGCGGCGTGATGAGGACGGCGTGCAAGAACAAAAGCCGCCGACAATTAGAAACTATGTACAATGATGCAGCAACGAGCAATGCGCCGTACAGGGTGAATCGAGTCGCAGGTAATACAAAGTAGGTTTGCGGAGAGGCGTGCATGCGCGCGGGCGGACGGCAAGCTGTTGATCACCTTGTTTACCCTGGCAACGCGAGGCGCCAGCCAACTTTCGGGCCTGGGCGAGATCGCGGCCCATCGAACATCGATCGACCGCCAAAGCGCGTCCTGCACGTGACCATTTGACCGCGGCCTTTGATTTTGGAGACGGTCAACTGCTGCAGCAGCTCTCACCGTGCGACCGCAAGCCTCAACCACCCACGGCGCAGAGTGACGGCGCACGCCTGGATTTCGCTCTGGTAGATCCTAGCGCATCGCATCATCGACAAATCTCTCGACCGCTCGATGCGCTGAACTGCGTGCAAAGCTCCTTCCTCGACGCGCTGCGCTCCTGCCGCAATGGCCAACAACAACCACCCACCTGGGATGCCTTTTCCTTTCCCATTGCCGCACACGCAGCAGCCGCCAAACGCCGCGCACCGAGACGGCCAACAGCAACATGGCCCTCCGCCGCCGCCGCCGCCGCCTGGCTGGAACCTCCCGGGTCTCCACCAGCAGTATCCCCCACAGCCACACGCGCCTCAACCGCGTCATGCTGAGAACCAGAACAATCTGCCTCCTTTCCCATCTGCCGGTGAGTGAAAAGCCGTGTTGTGTTTCATCGATGGTGCGTACTGACCTTGACCTAGCCCTGAGCTGGCCGCCGCAGATGCCTCCCGAGTGGCTGCAGTTGATGCAGAGCAGCATGCAGAGCGGCTTGATGCCACCACCCCTGCCCGGCCTCACCTTCCCTCCGCCTTCGCTTCCACATACACCGCAAGCTCCCGCGACACCAATTGCATTTCCTCCGCAATTCCCTCCGCACTTCCCTCCACAGCCCACGGCAGCCCCAGCCGAGCGAGTGCAGGAAGTCATGGACAGCGATCGGGAAGACGGCGAAGTCACCGATGCTGAGGGTGGCTCACAGACACCAGCAGGCATGGCCATGCGCCAAAGATACCCCGAGCCTCCACGATCGGCGCCTCGGGCAACGGCCAGGCCCTCTCGCGCAGAGGACGCATACAATCCAGACAGGCCCTCGGCGGGTCAGACAGCGCCGCAAGCGAGTGCGGCCGTGAAAGAGATGGACCCGGTACTGCAACAGCGCGAAGAGGCCAAGCAATTCATCCGCCTCCTGAACAGCAACAACATCGGCTACCACGCTCTGGCTAAGGAGAACATCGACGTAGAGCTTCTGAGGGGCATGTATCGCAGCATGAACCTGCCGTCTGAACCTGAGCCTATCCCACCGCCAAAGACAAGTGGCGCAGTTGCGCCCAAACCCTCGAGCGCGAGTCACGCCACCACCACAACAACAACAACAACAACAACACCAAGCACGTCACAAAAGACGGCGCCTGCCGTGTCCACCAACGTTGCTGCTGTATCAGCCGCAGCCGCAGGCGCTGCCGCGTCACCAGTGGATCGCAAAGACTATCTGGCACGCCTGCAGGCAGCTAAGCTGGCTAGACAGTCGGGCCCAACCAAGGCCAGTCCGCCACAGAAGTCACCGTCTGTGGCTGTTGCGTCTCCCGCAACCGGCATCAGCACGCCTCAGGCGACCATGACACCGACAAGGAAGCCGCCGGCTACAGACGAGCACAAGGCACGCCAGACTGAATTGATCAAGCAGCGACTGGAAGCACTCAAGGCGCAGAGCAAGCAGACCGCGGCATCGTCCAGCAACAGCGCACAAAAGCCTGGACTGTCACAGCCCACTCCCCAGCAAGCGCCTGCTACAGGTACCTCAGCGCCGCAAACTCCCGCCTCAGGATTCTCAGGCATACCTGGCCTGTTCATGAACGCGCCATCAAATACGGGCAACGGAACGTCGACACCGTCAAGGCAACCACAAGCTGTTCCGCAAAAGCGTCCAGCGCCCTCGGACACTTCAGTGTCCACACCACGAGGCTCGGTGACGCCCTACAATCGCCCGTTCGGCCAGTCTCCCCACGCACCTCACGAGGACTCGATGATCATCGAAGTCAGTGATGACGAGTCCAATGGCAGCGATATGGACATTGATGACGACCAAGCACCATCGGGCTCATCTGCTATCCGCCAAGCTCCTGTCTCCATACCTGGATTCCCTCCCCGTCAGGCACCGGTGCCGGCTGCACTATCTGCCGTCAGCACACCTGGTCCGCAAACACCTGCAACCCTTGCACGAACGGGGGAGCTCAATACCAAAGAGCAGGAGCTCGCGGCTCTGAAGCTCACCCTCAAGAAGAAGCTCGCGGAGCAAAAGCGGATCAAGGAGGCGGCAGAGGCTGCAACGGCGGCAGCGTCGGCCGCAGCTGCATCAGCCGCTGCACCTCAAGAGACACCCTCAAAGCAGCATCAAGCCCCTTCCTCGCTAGCCGCCGTTGCATCTCAACAACTGCCATCGGGCGGTCGTTCGCAAGAGACAGCTGCACCTGTCCCTGCCCGAGCCAGTACGTCAGCTGGCGATTCGTCTCGAGATCGAAAGCGACGTCGTCGAACAGAGATTCAAGAGCAGCTGCCTTCCCTCGACGACGAAATAGCCAGCAACGAGGCGGAGATGGCACGACTCGCGAAGGACCTCGAAAGGCTCAAGACAAACAACGAGCGTATCATGCAAGACAAGCAGCGGTTGACAAAAGAGCTGGAAGACCTTGGCATTGATACCGGAGGCATGTCACACGCTGACATGCGAGCAACAAAGGACGAGATCGAGCGTGCTATGTCGCCTGAGGCTGGCACTGGGCCGCAGATTGCTAGTGCGCTTCCACAAGCGTCGCCTCTGCGTGAGGAGTCCGGTGTCTCTGCTATGGCCTCAGCGGAAAGCATAGATATCACAGCAGCGGAAAGCATAGATATCACAGCGACCGAATCGACCTCTCTGTCCGCACCTGCCTCCACCGCTAGCCAGCCCCGCCCACCTCAATCTGGCTTCCTGCCCGGACTCGGACAAGCTGCACCCCATGTACATGCTTCCACACTGCCTCGGGTTCCGCCGCAGCCCATGCAAGAGCCACTCGCAAGTCCATCCCACGACTTGCAGGCTACGTCCGATCGTATGGAACCTGTCGAGGCATCAGGTCACGCTGCCACCAAGAACGATCGCGCCTCCGCTACTTCTATGGACGATGACGAAGACATTTATTCGCCGCCACTGACGGTCGAGGCCGGTGTCAATATTGAACCTATTGTGGCGGAAGCACCTGAGCTTCAGGTAGAACAGAACCTCGCGAATGCCCCATCACCGTCCGAAGAAGGTGAGGTGGAGATGTCGGAGTCATCTGAAGATGAGGACGATGAGGACGATGAGGAAGAGTATGAACCAGAAGAACACATTGTGGAAGAACCCATCGTCGACGAAGCCATCGTGGAGGCACCTGCTGTCGATGAGCGTGTCATGGAATCATCGCAACACGCTCAGCTGCCAGAGCCGCAAGCCGAACAGGCGCAGTCTATTGGACAGTCTCAGGTGTCGACAGAGGACGAGGAAGCCTACGAACCACCTGACGTCGATGAGGAAATGACCGAAGTCGCACCTGTGGCTGATGCCGCTCAGTCTGAGGCTTTGTCTCCTGGTGACGCAGACGACGGAGCTATGGATATCGCCACGTCTTCATCTGAGGACTCAGACGACTCCGATTCAGACTCGGACGAGGAAACTCAGTCAGAGCTTGGAGACTCGGAGTCGCAGACACATGTGACACAACAAGTTATTAACATTGCTGACGATCTAGCACCTGAGCTGCAACCAGAAACTTCAGTGGCGACTGTTCCAGCTGCTGTCCAAACAGAAAATGTAAGTGTTTTGCCATTTCGGGAGATTCCGCTGACAATGTAAGGTGCAGACCATTGAGGAGGAGCCTGAGCCAGTCGGCTTCACTCCCTATGAAAGCCCCCTTCGCATGTTCAAGTCTTACCGTTATCACCCCAACTTTTCGCAAGACGTCGATGGCGGCTTCTTGTCCATGACCTACAGTCATCAAATTGACCCTGAAAAGCCTTTGTGTCCTTTTGAATCTGCAGGTGGATCTTGCAACGACCCCGAATGCCCCAATCAGCACTTCCGGGGCATGGGTATCACTGGTGCGTGTTACGGAGGGTCTCATACTCGCGTTTGTTGTACCCCTCCCTTGTACGCAGACTGACTTCTATCCTGTAGGTGAGAAGCTCCTCGTCCAACTTGGAACCGCCAATCCTGGCAAGACACAGGACGAGAAGCAGCAGTGGAACGACGGCCTGCGGAGTGTTCTGAAGGATCTTCGCCAAAAGAATATCAAGGACCCCAATGGTATTGCGCGAGAGATTGCCAAGTACCGTCGACAGTTCCTCAACGACGATACCCGGGTTGTCAACCTGTGAGATTGTAGACCTCCTTGTGCGGAGTATCGGCCTTGCTGTCTGTACTCCGCCATTGACTTTGACCGTACAGTACAGCGCACCTTGTTCACTTCCTTACGTTACCCACTCAGCCGGTCGACCGGCTCTTCGACAGTCTTCGACTTCAGTAATTCTCCGAACGGCGCAAGGCGCATGTGTTTTGGACTGTAAGCATCGATACCCTATGCATTGGGACGGAGTTCGGCCTCGCTTGGGGCAAAGGCATTGGAGATTTCGTATGTGACTTGAATATTGCAAAAGCCACCAATGCTGCTGCTACCGTCAACCCTGGCGTCTTGACACAGTTGCTTGACTATCGAATCAGCCGTCTAGTCCAAGAGATTCGGTTATCTCAACGCATGATGTGCTGGTAGCTAGGGGCGATGCAGCGGCCGCGGCGGGCTTCAGCTAGGTAGACAGAAGAATACATTCAGTACATCAAGAAAGGTGTGTAGCTCCTACAACGTGTCGCTGTGATCGAAGCATGTCTACTTTTCCTCGGTTGTTGCTGACTTTGAATGCGTGAACTGATCGTTCCTGTCCGCCGATCCTACGCCATAGCGACAGGAAAACGAGCGCAACACCTCAACAACACAATCTGCAGCTCTAAATCTTGGAGCAGTATGCTGTATCGCGTGTTGTACTCGTGTCACCTGAAAAGAATGCACATTGCGACGAGGGCAATTTTTCACTATAGTAGACCCCATCCGCCATGCTATAAAACATAGCATCTCCATGCGGAAGAGGCACAGTTCAACAAGACCTTAGGCAATCGTCTCTTGTTCGAGCATCGATACTGGAGGCTTAGATGTACGACGGAGTCGCCGCGTACTTTCAACCAGCTCAGTTATTATCCCCCGATTTGGTTCCACGGTAGACACAAGCCGGCGATTCGGTGATGTCCAACGTGGATCTCAGTCCCATATTAGATCGAGACGTAGAGACGGCACGAGATCGTACTCATATGGCGCGACACCGCCGCTGTTTTAGTTCATGTAAATCTCGACGTGTTGCTAGATTTCGATGTTTCTGTGGCTGGCATACTGGGGACGAAGCCGTGACGTCAGTCAGAGTTTACTTCGTGCTGGAGCGTGCCGCTGTCGGCTTCGCTCCTCAGATCATCATTGGAACAGCGAAAGGCTCGCAGCATTTCGCATGCACTGTGGAAGAATGGTCTATCACGAGATTGCTATGGCTGTCGCTGAGCAAAGTACCAGGGTCTGTTGTAAATGGTTGCAAAGACGGGAAATTTTTCAGCCATCGCTACGTAATGCCTGTGCCGATCCCGAATTGGGACAAGCAGGGGTCCCGCTTTCGTCAACGACATGTGCTGGATTGATCACACCGGGTTTCACAAACCTGTTTACAGCGGAGGAGGTTTCTCAGCTAGGAACTAGGTGCATCAATACGTCTCCAGGGTTGCATGCGCCTCAAGGTTTGTAGGTCTGCTCGCCTCCATCGAGTTTGCTGGACACCAGTCGTACGTTCAGACTGCCGCGCAAGCATTCTTCCAAATCTCAACCGCAACGATTAAGAACGGGCAGCCCGTGGACTAGGGTGAAGGCCGTCAATAAATCGTCTAGTCTTGCCTCCAGATATGCTCTGGATCTACGGTCATCATGCGCTACCGAGATAGTGCCCTACGCTCATCCCAACTAGGCAACGACGATCATCGTTTGCCTTCCATGTTGCCTTCTCGGGGATCTACGTCAGCCGCGCACTTACCACTTCTGGTCAGAGACTCGCTGTGGCTGAACAAACTCATGGTCTAAGAGCTGGGACTACACTTCAAGCGTGTGGGAAGAGGGACTAAGCGCGTGGAGATGACAGGTAAAACATCTAGATGGTGGGAGGCCATTTCTGCGTCAACGGCTCGTCTATGACGACAGTCTCCTTTTGACACTTGATGGGCTGTTATGAGAGGACAAATGCCCTCTCGTACCGTCTCGGTTTTTCTTCTCTGATTTCAAGCAGGATACCCATTCTCCAGTTCCGAGGTTTCACCCTCTTCAGTATCTTTCTTCTTGGTCTTGTTTCTCATCTCAACGTTCAGCCACTCCCTCTAGGCTAGGAAGCTACATCCGGCATAATGAATATCAACGTAAGAGCCCCCGCGACTCAGACGATTGCAGACTCGTCTTCTTCATTGTCAACGCATCAGCCACTGACCTCTCACTACAGGAGCCCCGGCAAGGCAGAGCCTTTGCGATACCCTTCACCAAGGCTGCCGACCCAAGTGCCGAAATGACCGACAAAGAACTCCGCCTTCCCTACCTGAAGAAACTACCTGACAACATTCGCAATCATTTCGTCGCCATGTGCGGAGAATACGTCGGCACTGTTCTCTTCCTCTGGTTCGCTTTGTCCGGTACCCAGGTCGCCAACAGCATTCCATCAACGGGTGGTCAAACCGTTGCTGAAGCAGGCTCGAACCCGCAGCAGCTGCAGTACATTGCTCTCTGCTTTGGCTTTTCCCTGGCTGTGAACGCTTGGGTTTTCTTCCGCATTTCTGGTGGCCTTTTCAACCCTGCTGTCACGCTTGGAATGTGCTTGATTGGCGCGCTGCCGTGGATCCGTGGATGTCTATTATTCTTTGTGCAGATTCTTGGCGGTATCACCGCCGCTGCGCTGGTCACTTGCATGTTCCCTCACGATGGCAAGATCAACGTCCGCACCTCTCTTGGTGGTGGTACCTCTGTTGTCCAAGGTCTCTTCATCGAGATGTTCTTGACTGCTCAGCTTGTCTTCACCATCTTCATGTTGGCAGCTGAGAAGCACAAGGGTACCTTCATTGCTCCTGTCGGTAAGTAGCATCTGTTCGATACCATCTACTACTGCTAATGTATCACCTTAGGTATCGGTCTTGCACTCTTCATCGCCGAGTTGACCGGAGTCTACTTCACTGGTGGGTCTCTCAATCCTGCACGTTCCTTCGGTCCTGCAGTTGTCAACCACACCTTCAACGGCTACCACTGGATCTATTGGCTCGGACCCATCCTCGGTGCCATCGTCGCGGCCGGTTTCTACAAGTTCATCAAGATCCTCGAATACGAGACTGCCAACCCCGGTCAAGACAACGATCATGCCGCCAATGTGGAGAGGAGGAAGAACCTGCTCCTCGCCGCCGGTATTAACGAGTACGATGCTCACAAAGTCGCCCATGAGCTTACTGAGAAAACTGCTGTTGCCCAAGCCGGCGGCCCCAACGGCACACTCGTCGCGAACGGCCAAGGCCGCCACGAACAACCTGTCGACGTTCAAGGCATGTACGGCACCCAATTCCGCCGTCCCTCGACCTTATCGTCGGTCCATAGCAAGCGCACCTCGGACAAGTCAGACGCGACATTCCCCTCGCCCCAGCGTCCACAAGCCACTACCACAGGAAGCCAGATCGGAAGGTTCAGCTACCTCGGTGAACGCGGTGTGGCGTCAGGCAACCCTGCGCATGTCAATGCTCTTGCAGCGGAGACGAGGATGGATAGCCCCGCCATGACGACAAATGATCAGCTCTATGCTCCGCTTGCGCATGGTGCTGATGTGCCTCTTGGTGGATCGGTGCACCCTGAGTATCAGGGTGAGCCTAGGCAGCGGTTTGGCAGGACGCCCTCGAGCTATGCTTGAGTTAGTATGATGTAACGGCCTTACATGATCTATCGTTATGAGTCCGTGGGAAGGAAGAGGATATCTGGGTGTGGACTTGTTGCGTTCCTTGTACTTCTAGGGCACATTTGTATGGCGTTGGCGGTGGAATCTTTCTGGTATATGTACACGAATATCACGAAGCGTAATGCATATTTCATCTGAGATTAAGATCGTAACATTCGCTTCGTCTGTGAACCAGGCCAACTGATTGCCTGATGGACGTGGCTGCTCGGCACCTGCGACGACTGAACGCTGTGAGAACAGATGTGCAGGCTGAACACGACTGGATGCTCGACAGCAACAGGCTCAAACATAGTCGTTGATGTCAAGAAGCATGGCGATAGTTTTCTGCGATACTCTTGAATCTTGAAGTCTCCCTTGGTGTCTCTAAAGGTCTGCCACGAGCATATGGCTCATCCTGTGATGTTGTTGTTGTTGTTATCCTCACGACAGCCTCGAGGGAAGGTGCGTTCGATCTTATCTTATCAATCAGCCCGCGACTGCCTTTCTCCATCCTCCTACCCTCATCCTTCCATCTCAACAGTTTGCTAATGAACCCATAGGAAGGTTTACATACCCTCTGGGATATGGATTCCCGGACTCACCCTAGTTCGCACACTGTCATCCAGTCCTTCGATGTTTCGGGATCCGGCGATGCGACCCGGTCGCGGCGGTTAGAAACGCGTTCGCAAACGCGACTCGACGCATCTGCCTTGCTACGTCGATGCCGACTGAACGACTCCCCAAATACTCATCACGATTTGGTAGAGCAAAGACCAGTACCTTTGAAAATGTGACGACCTCCATCGCGGCCAGCGTCTGGCGCTTAGGCACGGACCGCCCCAGTCGCAACGGTGAACGCCCATCCAACGCTTCGCGCCACCCAATACTTCCTTTCTGGACTCTTTACTTGTTTTGTTATTCCATTAATGCGACGAAACCGTACCTTTTTGCACAGTGTGCAAAGATCCTCAGCATAATTTCCACCAGGCACTAGCCGTTCGCTCCGCTGGCATAGCACTGGCCAGGAAGCTCCAGCAGCATCGCGGCGCAGTCGTGTAGGATCCCGTTTGCCGTGTGGAGGCCCTACGATACCTTGGCTTATTGAGATGATCTGGCAGCTTATAGTTGCAAGCTGCTGGTTGCCTACCGAACATGCGCTGGCTGCTCTTACAATTCTACATGCTCCTTCCTGTCGTTCACTAACATCTCCGTCAACTGGCTGGCCCAGTATCATCCATTTCACTTCCTTGGACTTACATTGGACTGTTTAATACCTATCACATCCTCTAATCGCAGCCATGCAACTCCCACGCAGATCCGTCAGGAGCATCCAGGAGCTCCCTAGCATCTATACGGCGTTTCCAGCTCACTATACACCTGTCAGAACTCACAGCGCCTCGACAACCTCGGACTCAGCAAGGTCGCCGGATATCGATGATGGACTTGAGGTAGTTCCTTTGGAGCACGACAGCATACTTTCAGCGCCCATTGTCAGTGCGTATCTAGACGAGAAGGAGGTGTTCATCAGCACACAAGAAATACTCGAGAAGCCGTTACCGAGCATCCCGACATCGATATGGGACCGTACGTGGGGCCGCATGTCTGTGAAGTACCGCGTGCTTGCAGTCCTCGGATTACAAGCCTTGGTGTTGCTCACGGTTGGTACTGTATTGTTAGCTGCAAACTCCAAACCTACAGAGGAGTACGATGCCCCCTCATGCTACAGAAGAGTAAGCTGACACATGCCTTAGCGACCGCTCTGAGATCCGGAAAGCGGGAGGCAACGACACGAACACAAGCTCTACCACTCCCATTGAGCGCGGTACCTTCCAGGTCCCTATCCAACTTCCTCAACAGCAGAGCTCAACATGCTTGGCACGAGCGAACGAGTCCCGAGCATGGCAATGCGCGTTCGACACCACTCTACAGCTCAGCATCCTGCCTTCCCTGGGAGACGACGCAGACAAGCCTGTCATGATCACCCTTGGGCTGCCGTCGACCTCCAACAGGAGTGTTCACTGCGGGCAGCAAGCTCCAGAGATCGGACCCACGGCATTGACGACTTTTAACGGCTCAGAAGATGGGCCACAGTATCACTTCTCAGCGACGTACGATCGTACTGTGATCCTTCGAGAAGACCAGCTTAGGCAGGAGAAGACGTACTCGTCGCCCATGCAGGGCCAGCCTAAGCACACGACGTTTCTGCCAGGACAGTCGCTCTGGCGATGCACATTCAACGACACGCTTCTGGAGGGCTTCATCTACACGAAGAGGGATGGCGGTTCGGTGTTCAACGGGACGGATGCACCGTCTGGGCACCTTCCTCATAAATTGAAACTCGTCGAGCACAGACTGGCTACTGGGAGTGCGCCATACTGTGAGAAGGTCGTTGTCGGACTCAACGGGGACCTGGAAAACGGCGACGAGAGCGTGGATCTGAAGTTGTCTGATGCTCAATCCGGGTCTGGCACAAGTCAAGGCGACTCGGACACTTCCTGTCAATGTCAATGGATCGTTGAGTAGTAGTTGAAGAGACGATCGAGAAGTGACTTTGCGAGCTTGTGAACCACGCTGTTCAACTGTCGTCAGTGTATACTTCTGCTGTTGGTACTGCAGCAATCTGCATGTGAAGGTAGTGTACATGTGATGCCCCCAGATCGTCGGCACCAGACCGGCCCTCCATGACTTGCCAGTCATGCGTGCAGCCACAGGAAAGGAAGGCGCTCAGCTGGTGTCAGGCCCCTCATATGGTCAAACGTCCCACAAAACCCCTCTCACTTCTCGCAAGCTTCACCTTTACTCCAAAGCTCAACTCGACGTGTTGAGCTCAACCTCAGGCACGAACAAGCTTCACGGGCGTTGACCTGCACAAGCAGGAGAGAGCTTAGCGAGATCGGGCAACGGACCTCGGCGCCTAGCACGCTGCACGCAAAAAAAGTAAACAGCGCCGCTGCCTGCGGTATCCGCCTGACATCAACCTAGCCTGGACGGCAACAGCGCTCGAAGCTTCACCGCTGCTCGCGCTTCCACGGCTCCTCGACAATCGTATCCACGACTTCACCTCGAAGTTGCGTTGTGTGGCATTCGACCAGCGGCGTCCGACCAACACACACCACCCCTCGAACCACTGCACCCCGCCAATCGCATGCCAACGATATAGCAACGCACCCCGACACCGCTCGAACCCCACGACCCAGCATGAGCTGGCTCCTCTACCTCTCCGCCGCCCCTGTCGCGCTCATCATGCTGCTCCGCGCGCTGTCTCTCGTGCTGCCCGGACGGCTGGGCCAGCAAGCTACCTTCGTTGCATTCAGCATCACCGCGTTCCTGCTGCTGGTCACGTGCGCGAGCTACGGCGTCGTTGCTAGTTTGTTCCTTAGGGCGATTGGGTATGGCGGGTTGAGCCAGTGGACGGTTGGGAGGGCGTTCAAGTGGACCATGTGGTTGAGCACAGGTGTTACGTTCCGCGTTGATGAGGCGGGTGGACGGGAAGAGGGTGGGAGAAGGGGAGGGAAGGAGGCGCTGGAGACGAGGCCGGCGGTGTTTGTGGGGAATCATCAGACGTAAGTGCTCCAACCTCTGCCGGCAATCCACGAGCACCACGAGCACCACGAGCAAATGCGATGTTTCAAGAGTACATTGGATCGAAGAGCTAACGACCATATGTAGTGAACTCGACGTCCTCATGCTCGGCTGCATGTTCCCCCCCTACTGCTCCGTCACCGCCAAATCCTCACTCAAATACACCCCCTTCCTAGGCCAATTCATGTCCCTCTCCAAAACCGTCTTCATCGACCGCGCCAACCGCGCCACCGCGCGCGCAGCCTTCGACGGCGCTGCAGCCACAATGCGCAACGACCGCCAATCCGTCTTCATCTTCCCCGAAGGCACGCGCTCGTACGCCACAGACCCGACCCTGCTTGCCTTCAAGAAGGGCGCGTTTCACCTCGCCGTGCAGGCCCAGGTGCCCATTGTGCCCGTCGTGACGGCGAATTATAGCCATGTGCTCGATATGAAGAGGAAGATTGTTAGGCCGGGCGTTGTGGATGTTACGGTCTTGCCGGCGATTCTGACCAAGGGGTTGACGGCGGCGGATGTCGATGGGTTGGTCGAGAGGACGAGGAATGCGATGATGGATGAGCTTGTTAGATTGAGCCATGTTAGTGGGGCGAAGGAGGGGAATGGTGTGCCGCTGCCGAAGGCGAGTGGTGTGGAGGAGGTCAGGAAGGAGTTGAGGCAGCGGAATTAGGTCGATGTCTGGGTGAGCGTGAGGACAAGAGCATAGAGCCTTTCCTGCGACGTGCAGGACGGCCATAGCTGGTGTTTCCAGGAGGCAATCATGAGTTTGCATGGCAGGACAAGGCGTACGATATACCACACTATAGTACTTATTCCAATATAGAGTCAACACATACACAGCAACACATCCGTCTGTAAAGTGTCATCTCATCGCTCCTTTACACGCATCTATACAGACTCTCTGCGCCCTTCGGCACACGTTCCGCCGGTTAAGCTTGAGCTACCCCACGATACCCCTCATCCACGCTCCAACCACAAATACCCAATCTGGTAAGCCGTAGCATCTGTCGTGTAGAAATGATCGTGGAGCATACACGCGTGAAACCCGTCCTGAACATATGACATCTTGCTCTTGTGCCTCATCTCTTCTAGGCTTCAAGACCATTATACGAGATAGCACGACATGGTATCACAACCGGCATTCGACGTCAAGGGCAAGACAGCCATAGTGACTGGCGCAGGCTCAGGTTCGTATGACAGATTGGACTTCACCATTCACAATCGCCTTGCTGCAAATCACCTATACTAAGATATCATATCATTCCAGGCATCAACTACTGCTTCGCCAAACTGCTCCTGGACAAAGGCTGCAATGTGCTCATTGCAGATCTATCACTTCGGCCTGAGGCACAACGCCTAGTCGAGCAATATTCCACCAGTACACCGCGCGCCGTGTTTCAAAAGACGGACGTCACCAACTGGGCCGAGCTAGAAAACATGTTTGCTCAAGCTACCGAAGAATTTGGAAAAATCGACATCGTCTGCCCTGGCGCCGGCATCTACGACCCTCCTTGGAGCAACTTCTGGCACCCACCCGGCACCTCAACGTCTCGCGATACCAGGGACGGTGGTCGATACGCAACACTAGACATCAACATAACCCACCCGATCCGCACCACGCAGCTCGCCATCGCCGCATTCCTGGATTCTCAGAAACTCGACCCAAGCAAACCCAGAGCGCCGAAACGCATCCTCATCGTAAGCAGCATAGCCGGGCAGAACAGTAATTTGCACACGCCCATCTACGTCGCAGCCAAACACGCAATGAACGGCTTCATCCGCTCCCTCTCCGCGCTCGAACCCAGGTTCAACATCCGCGTCAACGGCGTCGCCCCCGGCGTCATCAAGACACCGCTCTGGACCGAACACCCGGAAAAACTGCAGTTCATCTCCACAGACGCAGATGAGTGGGCGACGCCGGAGGAGGTTGCTGAAGCTATGCTGACGTGTTTGGTGGATGAGGATTTGCCGGGTGGTAGCATCCTGGAGGTTGGGAAGGAGCAGACGAGGTTGGTGCAGGCGCTGAACGATCCAGGGCCTAGTGGGCCGGGACATACGGTTAGTAATTTGGTGGGGAAGTATAAGGAGGTCTATGGGCTGCTTGAGGGCGGGGATTGGGGGAGGCTCAGGGGAAAGTTGTAGATGTTGAAGTGGCCTTCGAGATATGGCGATGACGTGTCGTAGGGTATATTCCCACGTTGACTTGTGATGAGGGTAAGAAACAGAGAAGTTGACCTGTATAGACGGCGTCTCGAGTATGGCTTCGTCTTGGGTCTTCCAGAACATGGTGTCTTATGAGATCTGTTGTTCTTGAGCTCGTCTCGAGTTCATCCCATGAACGTGATACTGGGCAACCGGCAACCAGATTCTTCAAAGCAGGTACTTTCGTAGATTGCCATTGTTGTGTATCCGTCGCGTATCTGCGCTGGAGAAAGCCCTTCTTGATGTTATGGCATTTGGTAGTAGTGATGTGGAAGGTTGTTTACTCTGAACTACCTCGTGATTAGTCTTGTTGAATGTAGATTCTCGAAGCTCATGTTTGTCTTGCTGCAATGTACAATCACATAAGTGCTCAAGCCTTAATATCTCGAATGATGAGGTTGAAGTTTGTTGGTGGTGGTTGTTGAGAATCAAATGCATGGCGGTGAGCTCGTTCGCCGACCTCTCCGGTGTGAGTGGGATGCCGACGCAGGGTCGACAAAGCAACCACGGTTCGCGAGGCACCTGATGGGTGTTCAGCCCCAAATCTAGAACGACTCTCACGATAAGCTGCGGTGAGGGAAACTAGAGCCAGATGTTTGTTATGGCGAGCTCGCATCGACGCGGCAATTTCTCCGGCTGCCGCGGAAACATGCAGAGTCGCTCAAAGGCCGCAGCAAGAATCCGTGACAGCCGGCGACTGAATTGACTGGCTCGGCTGACAGTAGTCCGAAGCGTGGAAAATTTCCAAAAATGTCACGATGTTGAGCCGGTGGAACTTGTTGGAACGTGGAACAAACGTCGCAGCAGGTTCTGCTGAGAGAGGAAAGAGGGGCACGGCGGACCGCAGTGGATGCTCGACGCCGGCGTGTGTCGCCCATCGAGCCAAAGCAGAGCCATCAGAGTTCCTGAGGGATTGCGTCATACCGGCGATGAGTAAGGATTTTGCAACAGCTCGAGCTGCTCTGACAGGCCCAACGGCCGTGGAACGGCGAAAGAAGCGACAACAATGGACAGCCCTATGCCGCCAGGGTCTGCTTACCGCGAGGAATTAGCACGCTGATTGATGCAAAGCCGCTGGAGTTGGACGGGAGTGGGCCTATCGCCAATTGCGAGCCAGCTGCTAGCCAGCTGTTCTTCCGGCCGCCGTCGCGGTTGCCACGCTTGTGACGCAGCAGCCTTTTTTGTAGCGGGGCTCCTTGGAGGCCGACTGATTGAAAGCTGATCGACTACCGCAGCTGTTCTCAACAAACAACAACCTCCCTTCCTCTCCTCGCTGCGATACCCAAAGATCCATTCCTATACCCCAATTCACATCCACACTTCACATTCACAATGACTTCTTCCCTCGACCAATTGAAGGCCACTGGCACCGTAGGTAACCCCACTGTAGCTCGCTGCACCCCCACGGCAGCTGCAGCACGCGCAACCGTACTGTGCGACTGTGAGTTTGGGAGCTAACAGACCCTGACAGACTGTCGTCTGCGACTCTGGTGACTTTGCGACCATCGACAAGTACAAGCCCCAGGATGCGACCACCAACCCCTCGCTCATTCTCGCGGCCTCCAAGAAGCCCGAGTACGCAAAGCTGATTGATGCCGCTGTTGCGTGGGGCAAGAAGAACGGCGACAACATTGAGGACCAGGTCGATGCGACATTGGACAACCTCCTCGTCCAGTTCGGCAAGGAGATCCTTAACATCGTCCCCGGCAAGGTTTCCACCGAGGTTGACGCGCGCTTCTCTTTCGACACAAAGGCCTCCGTTAACAAGGCCCTCCGCATCATTGACGTGAGTGGATTTGAACTGAATCTGCGAAGAGAGGTGAATTGACATTTTCCAGCTGTACAAGGAGCAGGGCATTGGCAAGGAGCGTGTTCTGATCAAGATCGCCTCGACATGGGAGGGTATCAAGGCTGCTGAGATCCTCCAGAGGGACCACGGCATCAACACCAACTTGACCCTTATGTTCTCTCTCGTCCAGGCCATTGCCGCTGCTGAGGCGAACGCCTTCCTCATCTCCCCCTTTGTTGGCCGCATCCTTGACTGGTACAAGGCTGCCACCAAGAAGGAGTACACTAAGGAGGAGGACCCCGGTGTCGAGTCCGTCGGCAAGATCTTCAACTACTACAAGAAGTTCGGCTACAACACCATCGTCATGGGTGCCTCTTTCCGCTCCATTGGCGAGGTCACTGAGCTCGCTGGCTGCGACTACCTCACAATTGCTGTAGGTTGATCATTTCTGAGACTGTAGATCACTCACTGACAAATCCAGCCCAACCTCCTTGAGCAGCTCTACAACTCGACCGACTCTGTCCCCAAGAAGCTCGATGCTTCCAACGCCAGCTCGCTCGACATCGAGAAGAAGAGCTACATCAACGATGAGGCCGCCTTCCGCTTCTTCTTCAACGAGGACCAGATGGCCGTCGAGAAGCTCCGCGAGGGTATCTCGAAATTCGCCGCTGATGCCGTCACTCTCAAGGACATCCTCCGCAAGAAGATTGAGGCATAGAGGGGTAGTCCGATATCGGTCGTTTTCTTTGAATAGTTATGAAGGCATGAATTTTACGGTTTGAGATCAGCTAGCATCACCACACTCATATAGCTGCTTGGTACTGCGATATCAAAATGCAAAGAGATGAAACTGCCATATCACTGTTCTTCCACCGTCTAGCATGTCATGTGTCTGCAAGGCTGCTCTCAAAGTAGTGCTGTGATAGGCTGGACACAGTCAGCGACGTGCAGACGGATTTATCATTCGTTGGCCTGGAGCTTCGGCAGCCGGCCTCGAAAGAGCGAGCTGATGCGGGTCCTCGCGCGTTTCGTCATTCCGTGCCCCGCAGAGCACAGCCGTAAAGCTCTCAGCTTTCGGCAGCTTCACCACCTTTCTCACACTCACAACAACGCTTCACACGTAAAGTCAAGCTTCAATTCATCTCAGTTTTATCACCAAACATATAAAACCGCCAAAATGGTCAAGGCTGGTACGTCTATTGCCCTTTGCAGCACAGGCTTGCCCCGTTGCAGGAAGGTGGGGTAGCGGCTGCGCGCGATTGAGCACATTGTGTCCTCGAGGAGCCTTTTCTGGGCCTCAGAACGCTCTGAATGGCTCAATCGGATGCTTTGAGGGCTGTCCGAGGACCTTGCTGAGCACCATACCGCGTGGCTCGCTGCTTGTTCCTGGTGCAGACGCTCCAATCAGCTCCCCACTCCCCACACACCCTGATGGCTCCTTCACGCCTTGTGTACACTGCGAGGCGGGTAGGGCTGAGACAGCGGGCAGCTTTGCGAATACACAGAGCGGTAGACTAACATGAACTGTCTAGTCGCTGTCCTCCGTGGAGACTCTAACGTCAAGGGAACCGTCACCTTCGAGCAAGCCGACGAGAACTCGCAGACCACCGTCTCATGGGACATTACCGGCCACGATGCCAACGCTGAGCGTGGCATGCACGTCCACGCCTTCGGTGACAACACCAACGGCTGCACCTCTGCCGGACCTCACTGTGAGTGCCTCCGGCACCCAGATCGCCACACCTCATGATGTAACGGCGGTGACCGGACAAGAGCTGACCAACAACAGTCAACCCTCACAACAAGACCCACGGTGCCCCCAGCGACGAGGAGCGCCACGTTGGTGACCTCGGTAACTTCAAGACCGACGGCCAGGGTAACGCAAAGGGAAGCGTTCAGGATAAGCTGATTAAGCTTATTGGCTCTGAGAGCGTCATTGGCGTACGTCCCCTCTACTCCCACCACATTTCGTCTACGTGAGAACCATACTGACTTGAAGCAGCGCACCATTGTTGTCCACGCCGGCACCGACGACCTCGGCAAGGGCGGACACGAGGAGTCCAAGAAGACTGGTAACGCTGGCGCCCGCCCTGCCTGCGGTGTCATCGGTATCTCCAACTAGATACTTACATCAGATATCGCGATGGCCAAAGGCTACTGAGCATGTCGCAGTAGTCTAGGCCTGATGATTGAACGGTCTAGTAAAAAGAATACAGTGATGTACATACAACTCTTGCCTGAGTATCATCGTGTGACGAAATCAGTCTTGACCTCACTTCAAGACCCTGGATGTCGTTGAAGGGACCTCTCGCTACCACAACACTCCAGCCCACTGATTCAGGGATTGAGTATTATGCCTACAGTGCTTTCTCTTACAAATGTGTCCTTTCCACATTCCTAATCATTCAGTGCCTTACACCAGTCACCACTCTCCTAGCTCCTTGCCCTGCATACGACTCCAATTTGGTGATCATCTTTACGACATTGCCAAAATGTTTTCCAGTACAGAGAATATCTGGTCTGGTAACCTAACGCCCGCTCACGAAGCAGCTCCAACACTGCCCTGGGAACCAGCTCCACAAGAGCGCAAAACAGATTACGATGCATATCCAACTGCATCACGGGACGATCTCGCAAAAATGGTGAACCTGCTTGCGACGGGCATCCCTCCCCTCGAAAGTGGTCCTGAACCTGATGGTGAAGATAATAACGAGACCGAACACCCGGTCCGAGAGACAGATCAAAACGATCGCGAAATTCAAGGCACTGGAAACAGAGATTCCGGGTACGCTGAAGGACAACATCCTCAGAATGAAGAAGAACCTGTAGATGATGAAGAACAACTCACCTGGTTTGGTAGTCATCTTTGCCTAGCTTTGCACACCTTGCTGCCACCCGAAGAAAATTCGCCACCAAATAACGGACACGAACACTTTACCACGCCTAACAGTGGTAGTAATATTGAAGAAGAGATGATCGAGGTCGAACCATGGTACCCGCTTTTCCACTCTCTTCCACACATCTCGCCCACTTCCAGTCTGAGCACTTCTGCTATTGTCTTGAGAGATGGCGATGACAACGCCAGCCATGATTTCGCGCTCGATGGTCCGCGGACAACAACTTTATTGATCTTGGAGCAAGACATAAATGCTACAATCGACGAAGTGTGCTCGAGTTATCGCGGCATCAGAATCATTACGCCAGACCTGAGGGACGAAAGGGAAGCGAATCCGTATCCTAAGCCTCTCTGTCCTAGCTCGAGGCCCCCCCTACCTAATGGTGACCAAAGGAGGCGTAGTACCGATTCGCCTTCGACCAAACGCTGGAGTTATATACCAACAGGCGCGCCGGAGAGATTTAATACATTTCCACGACAGCGGCGGAATGCGGTTTCTGGTCCATCCGAAAGTGTGGAGTTGTATGATGAGGATGGGTTTCTGAATGAGAGTTTGTTGCAGAGAAGGTTCTCAACACATGACAGCCCACTGGCTGATGAGGTCGCGCGGAGGTATTCACCGGGACCGGACGAGTCGTATGAACAGTCATCTGCAGTGTTGGAAAATGCAGATAAGCTTCGGGACGAATCTGAAGGACTTGATGACGAGGCGGGAAGATATTCGTTGGACCCGGAAGCGTTCTACAGGCCATCCGCCACACATTTGACGACTACAAATCCACTCAGAAATGGGATTCAGGAGGGGGGTGCTTCTGCGGATTACCCTGCCCCACGATATATGACTGAAGGGCTGATGCGCAAAGAACTGAATAGAAGACGACGCGGAGAAGCTCTTCGAAATGCTGCTCTTCGTGCAGAGAAAATAATGTTGGAACGCAAGGTCTCGTCGTTTAGCTGGAATTCAGGGGTTGTTGAGCAGGATGTTCCCTATAGCAGGGACATTGCGGATGCTGAAAAGAAGAGAGCTATTGCAGAGGCCAAAGAGAAGAGCGCCATCGCAGAAGCTAAAGAGGAGTGCCGAGACAAGAAACAGAGGCAAGAAACGAGGCTCAGTGTCCGTGGTAATTACTTCGAACTCCAAGCGTCCAGGATACATAACCGGATCCATAGCCGTGTCGTTCGAGAAACGATCGCTCGAAACAGCTTGCACGATGTCGGTGACGATCTCAATGTCCATGAAGCACCCCTGCTCCGACGCACTGTGTCTTTGACCGTTGAGCCAATTGTACACTCGAATGGCATTGACAACGAGTATTCAGTCGAGGTTGCGAGGCGACGCATCGCAGATGCCTCCAACGTACGTCGAGACCCGATCGAGCGGCAAGAGAGCATAATCGAGATAACCAATAGTCTTCCGGAAGCTCAGGCAACGGTGTCGGAGCGTCAAGGAGCGATCCCTCAAAATAGCTGGGAGCACGTCCAGTACTCGGCGCAGATGAATAACGATGCCGTGAACGAGCTCAGAATCCACAAAACGTTCACACAAAGGTACGCTGTCTCTACAGACTTCGAGCCTATTGCAGATCCCCTAGGTCCGACTATTGGCGGCGGGCAGAAGCGCATTGTGGGAACAAAAGAACTTGCGCGAGCACCACGGATAGAAGTCGATCCTTCTGGGATGCTTCAGCCTGTATCGGCAAACTACTGCAGCAGATGCAATTGTACACACCCCAGACGGCCAGCCAATGCGCAAGATAGTGTCATCATGGAGCCCTGCAGTTCCAAGGACGAAAAGATCGCTGAGGGTAAGTGCAACTTGATGCGCGTCCACCGGGTAGCCAAGGCGCAAAGTAGTGCCATCAAGAAGCTTGATGTTGTCGTGGACGAGAAGATTGCCGTGGGAGTTAACGCTGAAAAAGACAACGAAGACGCGGAAGGTGGTGAAAAGGAGTTGCGCTGGTACTGGCCATTTGGACGTAGGATCCGTAAACCGGCGTTACGAAATGTATCAACAGACGGAAAGAAGGACGTTAAGAAAGGAGAGCTATGGAATTGGAAGCCTAAGGCAGAAAGGAGGAAGTTGTCCAAATGCCCACCTAACGCGCCACCGGCAATGTGAGCGTAGGTTATGACTAAAGTTTGGGATGTACTTTTCGATTTTAGAGATAGAGATGGATGAAAAGTGCAGAGGGCAACATGGAGACTATCGTGAGCTCTGGCAAGCCTGTGGTGCTGAATGGCACCAACAAAGTCTGTAGGTGATGATGTTTTGCGGATTTTGCAGGATCAGGCATTGCTTGGCGAAACATCAGGATCTGTGGGTTCTATCGCTTCTGCAGGGCGACCAAAGACAATCGATGTTGGTGCCTGTTGGTGTCTGTTGGTGCCTCTATGGGGTCTGGGGAAAGAGCTGGCTGCGGGGCACGGTCGTCCTTCGTGCCTCCTTCCATGCCTCCACCTGCCACAAGAGCTGCCGTAGACCGTAACACAGCAACGACACAACGACACTCCTTACTTCACTCACTCACAATGATGAATCTCTCCGTTATCGATCAACGCCTGCTTGCTGCTACAATCAAGAGAGTCAATGACTTTGAGCGGTAAGCTTTTGGCGTCAGCGAGCGCACAGCATCATCCAGGAGGCTCAGTGTGACCACAGGATCTTCACGGCTGGCAGATCATTTCATCACTGGTTGGGATGTTGTCTAAGATCAACGCGCAACAGAAAAGCAAACAGCTTGAGGGTGCGTGGCAGTGCCCATCACAATCAACAGACTCACCGAGTCAACCAGCAACGTCATCGCTGAGCTTCTGAGACCTCAACGTTCCGCAGCGCCATCTATTCAAGGTCGAGTATCGGTCCATATCAATCATATGGATTATGATGCTTGTCTGGGGATGCACTGCTCACCACAAGGCCACATCGTCAGCCTTCATGCCAACGGTCCTCCACAGCAGCATCACCTTCAAGGGATAGCAGTGCGGCGACATGCAGGGTTTGTGTGGCTGCCGCAGATGTTTTCTGCGAAGTTAGCTACGTGTTGTGATAGGCTGGGGCCGGCGTCTGGCGTTTCTGACACACCCTAGTCTCCACAATTGTTTCATGGAATTCCAGACGAGAGCGAAGGAGCGCAGCGATTGACCAGTTGGGCGTGCCGAGCTTTCAAACAGGAGACCGCATGAGCGGACACGAGAGGCCCCATGGCTTCGAGCGTGGATTCAGCGGAGATTGCGTGTACTGCGGATGCCGGCTTTTAATACTCGGTGCTCCAGCACTCAGGCCTTATTCTTGTCCCAACCTTCAACTTTTGTGCGTTTTCGCGTCCTCTTATACCACGCTCCCTTCAATCGCTTTGTGGACGCTGGCCGACCTCACTCATTACGTCCACCACGACAAAGCTCTATCTTGAGCATTCCATTCATTCACGTTACTGCTTGCGATTGAACCTCGTTGTCTCAACTCGATCCGCGACCAAACCAATAGCAACGACGTACCATTCGATCTTCTGTGAAGAGTACATTCTACAAAGGCAAACGTCCATTCTTCAACTTCAGGTTTCGACAAAATAAAAATCAAGATGCGCTTTACGTCCTACGCTGCTGCGAGCGCCCTGGCTGCTCTGGCCGGCGCTCAGACTTTCACCGACTGCAACCCCACGGAGAAGGAGTGCCCGAACGATCCGGCCATGCCCCAGAATTTCGAGACTGATTTCACAGCGGGCAAGGATGCCATCAAGGGCTGGAAACAGACCGCTGGTAGCCTCACATACAACAGCGAGGGTGCCGTGTTCAGTGTCGCAAAGAAGGGCGACGCCCCTACCATCGGCTCCGAAGCCTACCTGCACTTTGGCTACGTTGAGGTCAAGATGAAGGCCGCTCCTGGTCAGGGTATCATCTCCTCGATTGTTCTTCAATCAGACAACCTCGATGAGGTTGACTGGGAGTGGATTGGCGGCGTCGATGCTAGGGTCCAGATGAACTACTTTGGCAAGGGAAACACCACAACCTACGACCGCATGATCGAGGCCGATGTCTCCAGCACTCAGAATGAATTCCACACCTACGCCCTAAACTGGACTGCAGAGTCGCTTACATGGCTCATTGACAACAAGCCTATGCGCACCTTGAACTACGCCGACGCCAATGGCGGCAAGAACTTCCCGCAGACTCCTTGCAACGTTCGTTTGGGCAACTGGCCCGGTGGTGACTCTGGGAACGAGGGTACCGTCCAGTGGGCCGGCGGCAAGGTTGACTACACCAAGGGCCCTTTCAACATGACCGTTGCCAGCATCAAGGTCACTAACTACTCGCCAGGCACCGAGTACCACTGGAAGGACAAGACCGGCTCTTTCGAGTCCATTGAGGTCGTCGGCGCTGGTAACAAGGATGGCGCTCCTCAGAACACTGCCATTCTTGAGTCTTCCGCGTCCGGCACGGGCTCTGGCGCACCTCTCGAATCTGGCTTTGCCGCACCCTCTGCTACCGGCGGTGTCTCCAACGGCACAAGCACCACCTGCACTGAGGGTCAGCAGCAGGCAACACCTGCACCCTCTAACCCTAGCAAGACCACTGCCACAGCTGTCTCTGTTGGCAACTCGGACTTCAACTACCCCGTCCCCACTGGATCCGTCAGTACTCCCGCTGGTTCCGCCAACACTCCTGTCTCTCCTCCGGCTGGTGGCAGCGGCAACGGCAACGGCACCTCAGAGGAGACTCCCTGCGGTTGCGGCGTCGCCACTGTCACTGTAACTGGCACTCCTCCATCTGGTGATGCACCCCCTGCCACTGAGGTTCCCTCCGCTCCTGCTTCATCTCCCGTCCTTGGCGGCGTTGGCAGCACTTCCGCCGCCGCTCCTCCTGCATCCTCCCCAGTTGAGGGTGGCACAGCTGTTCCTCCCGCCAGCTCCGCCATTGTCAGCTCCAGCCAGCCTCCTGCAACTCTGACCTCCGTTGTCTCGCCGCCTCCTTACGCTACTACCGGTCTCATCATGGAGACACTCCCTGCTCCATCTGTCCCTGTGCCCTCGGCACCATCCGGTGTCCTGCCTCCCGCTGGCGGAAACGCTACCGTACCCACAACCTCTGCGCCTGCTGAGTTCACTGGTGCTGCGATCGCAAACAAGGCTAGTGCTATGATGGCTGGCGCTGTTGCTGGTGTCTGGCTGTTTGCTTTCTAAGCGATATACTATTAGTAGCTTCAAGATGAGAAGTGAATAGAAACGATCATGTATGGGTTACGGGACTTTGCGGAGGACTTCGTCAAACACGGCTGGGATATTGTGTATATCTAATTGACGTCTGCGTTGGATACGCGTTGCTATATGCTCAGATTCGCTTTTTGGATACACCGAAGACGTATTGGGTAGATCAATAGACATTCGCGTAAACGCATCACTTACGATCCTGTTGTCATACCGATGTGATGTGAAGGATACCGCGTTCGTTCTGAGTGTCAGCTCCTCTCCATATGGCCATTCGGCGAGAGAAATTCAAATGAATTTGGACGCATTAGCCCATTGATACACCAGCAGCGAATGTAGCCGGTTTTGGTCCGAAGGCATGGCATGGCTAGGTACTTCAAAGGACAGCCTTTTGAACTGGTCCTTGAGGTTGTTCCACCACGTGATAGTGGCAGAAGGATAAGAAGGAAAAGAGAAAAGAGGCGGTGGGGCAAGATCGTGGTGGAGGAAGGGGCGCACTGACGGTGAAGGGAAGGCGCGTTGTGGCTACAGGAAAGCCTAGGGATGTAACAACAAGAACAACCTGAATTGGAAAATTTTCTTTGAGATCCGTCAATTGTTTTATTTGTTGAGGCGCAGACGGAAGAACGGATCGTTGATGAACGCTGGAGTCATCATCCGGAGATCTGCGCGTCCAAGTGAGCTCGATTTCAAGTACGCGTCCCTGAATTCAGCGGCTGCACTCTCGTCATCACCGACTCGTTCGGCCTCAGTTGTTCAGAGAGGCAAGGGGGTAAGTTCTTCGATTGGGATCAACGCTTCGCGGAGACCATTCCAATCGAACGATGCTGTGTCGTCGCTATCGCTGGTGCTGCCATTGCTAACATCAGTATCGTCACTGACATCCTCCCACTCGCTCGCGTCGTACTCCGCGAAATCTTTGTCTCTTGCTCTTGTGACCGATATGTTTGAGTACTTTGCTGATCTCGAGATGTCTTCCACAGTTATCCTTCCAAGTTTGTGTCTCAGTACAAATGTACCGTCCGCCATTTGCGGACACGTCCCTCAATGTAATGGTGACACGCTCCTCGTCCTCTTTGCCATACTCACTGCACGCAAGGACCGCCGAAAACAGCCTGTTCTCGTCTGCAATCGTCGGAAAGGAGGGGTACAGTCCATTGTTGTTGAAGACAGTGAGCGCCCGTATGCCTTCTATGTAGCCCTCCACCACAGGCGACGCTGCTTCGACGATAGAGTGTGATTGCTTGAAGCATGAGGGAGAGCACGCAAGTAGACTGAAGGTGCATCGATCGGTAGCTCTAAAGTCCATCCCTGCGGTACGAATATCCCCCCGCGCCGAATCAGGTTTCTGCTCGAAGCACTTTGCACCTCAACGCCGCAGGTATACAAAGCTGCAGATGATACAATAGTGTTCCCTGGGTACAAGTTGCCTTACCTTCAAGTCGCAGCACTAAAATTACAGCGGTCCTGCGCGTGCTGTTAACCAGTCCATTCGTGGCGTCCAAAGCAATAGTAGGTGTGTACCCCTGTAACACCGTTGCTGCCGGCCCAAACTATCATCT